TTCGTTTGATGTTTGTCATGTTTATACTTGTTGAAACATTTTATAATTTGTATGACAGTGATCGCAGTAAAATTCCCTACACAGACATATACATAACATACAAATATTTCTCACGTGTTGGATATATCAACGGCTAAAGGGAACCCACTGCCACACGCTCGCCACACCCCCAAACATACTTTGTGTATTTTTTTTTTTTACTCATAGAAGTTTGTGATATAATATTCATTCTGGTACCAAAAAATTCGCAAATAAATTCTCTACAAAACAAAAGTATCCCCATCCATTTCGGTTAAAAAATGGAATTTATAGAAATATTTTTTCGATGGACGAGAAAAGTAGGCTGTTATGCGGAATCGTAAGAAAAAACAGCGACGAGTTATCTCTAATCTAAAGCGCGAAAGTGTTAACTTGATTTTTTTTATATCCAGTATGCCAGAACCGTATTGCAGAAAGTCTTTGAAAAATTATTATAAGCATTCCTTTGCATGTAAGCTAATTATGCCCCTGGCAATCCTCTGCTGGTATTCATTCTCGCCATTTGTTTTACCTGTTGCCTGTTTCTTTGATGGTCGTTTCCACGTAATGAGTCAGATTTAGTGTGCTAATTTTACACATGATGGAGGGACCGTTGTAATTGGTTCATTTTTATATTTTTGCTCTTGTGCATATTTTCCATTAATCTGGTTGTTGCTTTACTAATGAAATTAACAAGGTGAAACTGCATTGAGGTTGTGTGTGTGTTGTACATAAATCCTGAGAGCTTATGCAGTCACCCCACTGCTGTATAGTTCGGTGACTTGGCCCAGTTTTCTGATAGCACAACCTAATTTTATGTCCACATTGATACCACTTTGAAGTTGCTTATTGTGAAAAATTCACGCAAGTGCAGTGTGCATGGCATTACACAGTATTTACTCGATTCATTCAAATTTTGAAATATTTATTTATGCATAACTGGGTGACTGTTATGACTGGGTGTTAGTCAGCTGTCATGGGCTGCTTCCTGGGGATGGAGGCCTGGTCGAGTACCGGGCCGCGGGGACACTAAAGCCCCGAAATCATCTCCAGATAACCTCAAGATAACAAGTATATAATTCTAAAAACAGAATACAGCATATGATATAATAATATAAAGTTCATTAAAATGGTGACAGCTTTATCAAGATTAACTAAATATTGCACTATTCAATGAAAGTTTAGACATTAATAATGTAAACCTAATTAAAATTGTAATCTAATATTGTATATTTATGCCATATATTTTTCAATTTCCCTAAATAACAGCGTGTTGTTGCACACTGAGCATTTAGGCACTCTTACCAATATTACAATTAAATATAGTATGACTTGTTCAGTTATTTTGTAAACAAAATTAATTTTGTATTATAGTATTGAAATGAAAGTACAAATGTATTAAATATTAGTGAGCAGGAATTACATGGTGTCAATAATAACTTGACTGAACTCACGTGGATGCTCACAGTAATAAGTTTTCTATGACAGCCATCGAGAGTCTTGCAGCATTCATTAAGAAATGGGTTTGTTTCACCATTTACATGTTTTTGGAACATAGTGAATTTTAAACAGAGTACCACAGACTTCCATATTGTGTGTGCTGAGAGTTTCAATACACACAAAAGACTGATAAATAGAATGCAGAATTTCTTGTTCATCATTTGAATGCATTGTAGAGTGTTGTGTTAAAGCAAGAGCACGCTGTGAACACTGAACATCAATATGTATGATTTAAGCTTTATAACTTGGTACTATGCAGTGGTATTGCCATTGGTAATCTTAATGTACAGTAATTAATTGTTTTGAATTTATAACTATTTTTACAGTGGAAGCCTATGAGACAGATCAAATGAGAGAGAGTAAATGAGAGAGAAAATGAGAATGAATATTGAATTAATCAATGTACTGTACTATAAACAGCATGTAAATAAACAAACAAAACAAATGGACAAATAGGACAAATGTAAAACAGAACCCAGCATGTTCTATAAATTCACAAAAAACATATTGGAAGTGAAAAACAAAATCCAAACACTGAAAATGGGAGACAGACTCGGATGCTGAAAAAGAAATGCAGTATGTGAAATACTAAATTATAAAGTTCCAAAGTGTGTTCATGCAAAGTGAGATTTTTGGAGAACCAGTCACAATAAAGACTTTGAAACACAACATAAGAGTACCTAGAAGTGTCAAAAGATGAGGTAGAAAAATTGCTCAATGGATTAGACTGAAACAAAGTAGAGTAGTTGGGCCAGATGAGCCTCACTTTGGGTTGTTATGGAAGGCATATCAGATTAGTACCTTAGCACTTTGGGAGGAGTGTGTACACAATGATGGTGTATAACTGGAAGGAGTGTGTACAATGGTGTATGACTGGGAGGAGTGTGTGTGTACACAATGGTGTATGACTGGGAGGAGTGTGTGTGTAATGGTGTATGACTGGGAGAGGATTGTGTGTGTGCACAACACTTTCATGTAGCATTGGTTATTGTATGCACTATTAAAGCGTCATGCATTGTACAGGATAAAATGTGATTTAAACAGCATAATTAAGCTTTGATTGTATTTGGTAGTAAGGTTAGTTTTACCTCCAACTTATGAATAAATAACGGGGTATTGTTAATCCATGCAAAACTTGTCTCTCTTACAATGGAAGGATGGGCTGGTATGCGTCTGTAGTGGTGCACAGTTATGCGACACTGCTGGCTACAGTAGTTCCAAATGTATCTAATAAATCATACCATCAATTTACATTGGTGCACAGTATTTGACTTGTCATTTTGAGGCAAGTGTATTGTTGTGAGCTCGAGTGATCGTGTAATCATTAATGTTAAATACATTACAATAAGGAAAGTTTCTGTGCTAGGGTTTTTATTCAGCAAACTTGATAATAATGTACAAAAGCACATTTCAAGTACAGTACTGTATTTTTTGTTGGGTATTCATAATTGTATTGTAAAGTCTCACATTATCTAGCTACATTAGTTCACTTCCTACAGGTGTATCCACAAGTACCAATATTACAGAAATTGGCAGTCATTAACATAGTTCTAACACATTTATTAATTGTAATGGAATAAGATAAATCACAGTGCGTGTGTTTGCATGATTTCCTTTCAGTGACTGCGAGGGGTAAGATAGCATCTCCTGGTGCATTAATTACTCCTCCCCAACATTGTTTTCATCATATTTCGTTTTAAAGTTGTGGATGGAATTGGCTTTGACAACTTCTTCCTTCAGTACATTCCACATGCCTACTACCCATACAGGGAACGAGAATTTCTTTACATCTCCAGCTCAATTGCATGTCCAGCTTCCACGGATGCCACTTTGTTCTACCTCTTTTTAATTTAAATAGGCTTCCTTTATCCAGTTTATCTATTTCAATCAAGATCTTGTACGTAGTTATCAGATCCCTTTTGTTTCTGCTTTCCTCTAAGGTTCTGAGGCCGAGTTTTCTCAACCTGTCTGTATAGCCGAGACCTCTCTATTCTAGTGCACATCTGGATGCAAACCTCTGAAGTTTCTCAAGTTTCTGTTTATGCTTCACAAGATGTGAAGCTGGAGCTGCATACTAAAGTAATGGTCTCACATAGGTAATGTGTGTGACCTTAAAAGACTCATTGTTTAGATTCTTAAACGACCTTATGTTTGCTTACTTCCCATATGCTGCTGATGTTATCCAATTTACATGAGCTTCTAGTGTTAATGTTGTGATTAGTGTAAGTCTGTTCCTAGGTCTTTATCTTATTTCTTGTAATTAGCTAAGTGTAGTTACAGGATGAGAGCTACGCTCATAGTGTCCCGTCTTCCCAGTTCTCTTCTTTGTACAGTATAACGCTTTGAAACTACTGACGGTTTTGGCCTCCACCACTTCTCACTTTGCTTGTTCCAACTGTCTACCACTCTGCAAAAGACAACTTTCTAATATTTTTTCAACACCTTTGTTTCTTTAGCTTGAATCTGTGCCCTCTTGTTCGTGAAGTTGCTGGTTTCAGGAATTCCTCTTTGTTAATTTGGTCGATTCCTGTTAGTATTTTGTAAGTAGTGATCATATCACACCTCTTTTATCTTCTAGTTTTGGCATGTTTAACGCCTCTAGTCTCTCATCGTAACTCTGTTTTTCAGTTCTAGAAGCCATTTTGTAGCGTGCTGTTGTATCTTTCCAGTTTATTTATGTGCATCTTGGGATTTGGACATGATACAACTGCTGCATAATCCAATTTTGGTCTTGCAACTGTCATGAACAGTTTCTTTAGTATTTCACATCCATATAATTAAAAAACAAGTCTGAAGTTGGAAAGCGATGCATACGCTCCTCTCACAATGTTCTTTGTGGTTCTCTGGCGATAGCTTACTATACAAAACCACTCCTAGGTCTCGTTCTTTATTAGAGTTCTGTAATTTATAAGTTGTGTGTGGTCTATTTTCTCCAATTCCACATTCCATAACTTGGTATTGTATTCACATTGAATTCCATTTGCCATTTGATGCTCTAAGCACTTATTTTATCTAGATCAATTTGAGGGGCATTGCAATTGTCTGCATCTTCTATCTTCCCCAGTATCTTAGCATCATCCGCAAACATGTTCTTATAATTTTGTCTTCTTCTGGTAGATTGTTTATGTAGATGATGAACATTACTGGTGCATGAACTGAACCCTGTGGTATTCTGCTAGTGACACTCCTCCAGTCAGATACATTGTCTAATTACTGCCCTCATTTGTCGGTTAAAAAATTTGTCATCGATGTCATAAGTCTCTGTCACCCCTCCAGCATGTTCGTTTCCAGAACAGCCTCTTGTGTGGGACAACCCAACCACCACTTTCCTGTAGTATCTCTGTGGCTCTATCATAAAAACTAAGTAGATTTGTTACACAGGATCTTCCTGTTCGAAAACCATACTGTCTGTCCGTCATTATGTCATTACTCTCTAGGTGTTCAACCCATTTGGCTTTAACTATTGTTTCTAGTGTTTTGACTACCACACTTGCCTATAATTTAGAGGTTCCTTTCGACTACCATTTTTATAAATTGGTACTGTACTATGTTTGCCTTTTTCCATATATCTGCTAAGATTCTTGTGCACAAAGATGTCTGGAATATTAATTGGAGTGGAATGCTCAGCTCAGTTGCATATTCTTGCAGCACCCAAGATGAAACTCAAAGTCCAATTGCTTTATTTCTTTCTAACCCCTTGAGTAAATTTTTCACTTCGTCTTGAGATACCTCTATGTATTTTATGGCATGCTCTGTAAAGTGGTATTGCGTCCAGCTCTCTGAAATCCTCATTTTGTACAAACACACTTTGGAACTGTTCATTTAGCATTTCACACATTACTTTTTCATTCTCAGTAGTCCTGTTTCACGTTCTCAATCTCTGGTTTTTATATTTTACATCCAGCCTGCTTTTAATGAATTTATAGAAAAGGCCTGGATCTGTTTTACATTTGTCTGCTGTACCTTTTTCAAAGTTCCTTTTCTGCGTCTCTCCTCACTGCTGTGTAATTGTTTCTTGCTTGCTTGTAGTGCTGGTATGTTTGTGGGTTGGACCTCTTCCTATATTGACCCCATTTTTTTTTGTCTTTTCCTCTTTGGCCCTCTCACAATTTCTGTTGAACCAATCCTGTTTTCTGGTCCTAGATCTCTGTTTTGGTATGAATGTTTGTATGCCTTCATTGTATACATATATTGCAAAATTTGGCATACATCTCATTTACTTCTTTGGAAAGACTTGTTGCTAAGCAATTAAACTCCTTAAAGAATTTTCTAAGTTTCCCGTAGTGTCCTCTCTTGGAATCAAGTTTTATCAACTGTTTCATTGTCTCCATTCTTTCCCGAGATTATATTGCAAAGCATTTGTGTGTGTGTGTGTGTAGGTGTGATGGGCGTTGAAGGAGTTTGGTTTGTGGTATTTGTATGTGTTTAGCCAATTTTTAATTACTGTAGTTGTTAATTTTGTTATATCTGCTCTTCAAGCTTTCCTTGTCAGTTATTTGTTTGTATTATGCTCATGCTTGTTCATTTTCAGGAAGAAAAATCCTTGTGCCAAATATTATACAGTAGTAATTTTTATAACAAATTCACCATTTACAAAGCCAGCTTGGTTCAATATTGTACATAAGGGAAAACGTTAATTGGATGCATTATCTTATGCAGGTGTTGCAGTCAGCTCGTGAGCAGCTCAAGTGGTCATTACTCAAGTGATCAACTAATGCCACTTGTGTTTGTGGAGTGGCACTTTTGGGTTTGGCTTCTTAATGAAGTTTATGAAAAGTTTATATCAAGATACATTTGTCTTGTATGTTGAAAAGGAATACAAAAAGATACATTAATAGAAATTGGCTTGTTTAGCAAGAATTTATTTCTATAATTTGGTTTTATTAAGATATTCATATAACCAAGATAGATGTTACTTTTCTTGTTGCCGAATATAAAGTATTCTGAACAAGGTTTGTTTAAAGTTTTTTGTTATGATTCAGTTTACAGCTTCTTAAAATTATCTTTTGTAATAGAAGTATTTGCTCTATAGATTATTTTGTTATATATACTGTATACAGATTTCCATGTTCTGAATTTAAGGATATTAAAGTAAAACCCTTTTACATGTACGTGAATGTCTTGAGCGAGTTACGATTAATTTATTTTTGTAATCCCAATGAGTAGTACAGAAACATTGCAAGAAGCAGCAAAGTGTTAAGGGTGTTATATCCAGCATGGTACATAAATATTTTTTTTTTAGTGGAAAATAAAGATTATCCATTTATCACTTTATTTCAAATAAATTAGCCTGTTGTAAGCATTGTATTTTTATATCACTTGCATGGGTGCTACAGTTCCACCAATATAAGACTATTTTCTCTGAATTTTCTGTCAAAGTTTTCATAATGGCATCTCGTGTTTTGAATTGGGAGCAAGAGTTGAGAGAGAGAGAGAGATGATCATATGTTTCCGTACGCTAGCCGAGTACAGTGTACCAATGGCTGATGATATGCAAAGTTTTTAATATAGTTAATGGATAAATATTGCTAAATATATGGTATTCATCATGATTCATGATTCTTTTGCACAACCCCTCCTCCAGTACACATTATTAGCTGCTGCTTATTTGCCTCATACAAACCATATGCCAACCTTGGTCACACTCCAACCCCCATACTTATTAACACTCAACCACCACCAATAATATGTTCACCCCAGCATCGAAACACATGAACACTGATATAATCACAACTTACAAGATACTAAGGGGAATAGATAAGGTGGATAAGGATAGCTTCTTTAGAGAGAAAGTAGGACAAGACACAAGTGGAAGCTGGAAGTGAAAATGAGTCGAAGGTATGTAAGAAAGTACTCGTACCATCTACAGGTACTGTAGTTAACAAGTAGAATGCTCTAAAAGAGGTAGTTGTGGAAGCTACCGCCATCCACAACTTTAAAGCCTGATTCGACAAAGAATTTGAAAGTCAGTAGTTAGGTTGTAATGCAACAGGTAGAAGGCTAGTAGGTTGGGTATAAAGAGCTAGACCTCACTTCCCCGTACACATTGATAGGCAAGTACAGTACTGCATATCCCACGTTAACCTAAATTATATGCTTGCTCTCACCCACTAACTGCATGCCCACACCACTAATTGTATGCCTACATAGATTAGATATTTACCCATTGCCTGGAAGAATTAGATGCAAAGAAACCTGTGGAACCAGAGCTTAACATTGATGTTGAAAGGCAGCAAACAATATGTAACTCTTTAATTAAGGTTTGTCATGTGTCATTAACAAATGGGGGGGAAAATTCTCAAATTCAAAAAACTACAAATAGGTGTCCATATTCAAGAAATAGAGAAATGAGGCCTTAAATTTTACCTGTCACTAACATGTATCCATCTTGTATATTGGGGGAGGGCTAACCCTGAGTAGAGTTTATTGATTGGGCACCATTCAGCCCTTTTCACCTCTGTACCCAACAGAATTGCTCCTTATTGTCCAAATTGTATTGTCCCTCATATCCTTGTTGAATGTCCTGACTTCCAGGACAAGCGTGTCTTACTTTCTGACCGTCCCTCGCAGCCGCTTGTCCCCTCGATAGAATTCTTGGTGAACTGGATGCTTTTGATACCGTTTGCTTTATGCGTTTGTTTTCGTATTGGCATCTTTGGTGATATTTAGCGCACTCTGATTATACCGCACATTTGATGGTGCTACGTAGCCTTCCCGGTTTGGTGCCTTCTTTTGATAATTAATTACTTACTATTATATTTAGTTTCTTATTCTTGGACATGCCATCTCTTAATTGTAATGACATTTTCTGGTTTCCAGAGAATTATGCTTGTCAGGAAGTAAGACAACCCAACCCCAGTACCCCTCTCGTGTATCTCACCAATTCCACTGGTGAGATACACTGAGGGGTATAATTTTGTTGGATTCTCAACCATATTGGAGTTATTACCTTGAATGAACATGTAGATGCCTCTGCTAAGGATGCAATTCATACTTGCAACATTTCCTGGAAAGTATTCCTTATTCAGTTTTCTACCTGGACATTCATGCAACAATAGGCAGATTTCTTGGGTTGGCATTGCAGGTAATAAACTGTGTTCTTTTAAAAGTGACCTTTTCCCTTGGCTATCCTCCTGCCACCATAATAGGCACTGGGAAATGACTTTGGCTAGGTTGCATGTTGGGCACACCTGCCTAACTTGATTGAACAACATCCTGCTCCCTTTTCTCCAAACTGCATTGTCCCATATATAGTCATTCACCTTGTAGCTTGCCCCAATTTTTGGCATAATCAAGTGTCTTGTTTTCCTGATGTTCTTAAGGGTCGTTTGTCCCTGATGAAGATTGATGAAGATTAAGTCACCCAAAAGGTGGCACGGGCATGAATAGCCCGTAGGTGGTGGCCCTTTTGAGCCATCACCAGTATCAATAGATGATACTGGAGATCTGTGGAGGTGCGGCTGCACCCTGCGTGACAGGAGATGTCTCCCGTGGTTTGTCCCTCTTTAGAAAACTGGGTGAATCTGTTACCTTTGGTATTGTTTACCATGTGTCCTCCTGTTCTCATATAGCCCAGTCGATAGAGCTATGGTCTCCCACCCGTGGGGTCCACAGTTCGCGACCCATACAGTCCAGGTGAATGGAAGGAGAATGTTGTATGGAAGAATGAGGATATATTCTCATTCTTCAAATGTGCAGAGGATGATGAAAAACCAGTAGTAGCAAATACTTTGCAAATGGATAGAGGCAGACTGGTAGAAAACCTCCTTTTAAAGCCTAATTCACAATAAACATTACACATGCTTGCTAGGGATATTCCTACGTGGGCCCTAAGCCTCTGGCTGGCCCACTAAGTGTTCAATGTTTGTTTTACTTGGGCGGAGCATGAGTATTTATGACTCGTATGGTCGCTTCAGTATTTTGTCCCATGTGTTTAACAACAACTGCTCTGTTGAATCTAAGTTGAAATCTTAATGGGTTTGTAACCTTGCACTGTGTTAGATAATGTTCCAGTGGTCTGTCGGGCATTTCTCCACAGTGCTGACATTTTGTCTCATCTTCTGGAACCTATAAGCCTATTTCCCATGCACTGCTTGCTACTGATGTTACACAAAGCTTTCTTATTGCAACTACCTTGTGTAGCTTCTGGGAAACATTGGCCTCGCGGCCCAGTCTCCTACCATGCCATCCAGTTGGTCATTTGGTCAACAAGGCTGTTGGATGCAGCTGCTCGCAGCCTGGTGTATGAATCACACCTGGTTGATCAGGTATTCTTTGAGGGGGGGGGGGGGGTTTGTCAGGTTCTCTTGAACACTGATAGGCCATCCAGTTATGTTCCTTACATGTAGCAAGAGTGTTGAAAAGTCTTGGCCTCTTGATGTTGATAAAGTTCTTCCTCGGCGTACCTATTGCACCTCAGCTTTTCAACGGGGATCATGGCATTTTGCACATCCTGCTATGCCTACTGGTCTCGTGTTATATTATTTGTGTGTTCAGATATCCAATCCCTCTAATATCTTCCATGTGTAGATTATTATGTATCTCTCACCTGCGCTCTAGAGAATACAGATTTAGAACTTTTAATCGGTCCCAGTAATTAAGGTGACTTGTAGAGTGGATTCTAGCAGTAAAGGATCTTTGAATGCTCTCTAGGTCAACAATTTCTCTGGCTCTGAATGGGGCTGTTAGAGAGCAACAATATTCCACCCTAGTGAGCACTATTGTCTTGAAAAGTATCATTGGTATGGCATCCCTTGTTTGAAAGGTCCTTGTTATCCAACCTGTCATTTTTCTTACGACATTTGATTGCCGAAACTAAGTGGCAGTTACATAGACTGGAGCAAAAACAAGTATCTAGTAAAATAAGACGATGCAACAGCAATTGCCAGTGAAAAGATTACGTGAAGGTAGAGAAATTATAGCAAACTACCAAGTGAAGATACAATGAATATAGGAAAAGTTGATTTCTCTCAGGATGGTTACTAAGTTGGTAATCCAGACGCTAATAAATTTATATAAAATACTAACTCTAATTAAACACACCAGCCATGTCTGTGAAGCACTTTATGCATATTAACTTTAGTGTTTAACAACAAATTGAATTCTTCCTATAAGGAAACAGTACTGATTTCAATGGAAAAATTCCGTTTGCAACTTTTTCCATCACTGTACTAGTTCGCTTTTGTTCTACAGGCCATACTAAATTGATTTCGTACGAGTCTTTTTCAATGAACAGCAAGACCATTAGCAAGTCTGTTTATCGAGGTGGACTAAACTTAATTTATATTATGACTGGAAATAATTTTGACGTGAATTTTAAAGGGTGTTAATATTTAATAGATTAAGTTTTCTGCCGAGATTTATTTTCTGTTTGATTTGTTGTGGTAATATGAGTACTCACAAGATCTTGTTTATTATTGTAAAAAGTATGAAACTTCCTACTTTGGCTATTACAAACTAAAGCAGCTGAGAACAAATTAATATAAAGTCTTCAGTAGCCAAGTGAATAAGAGTAATCATTTAAATTCTAAATCATCATAGTTGGTCAATTTAAATCTTGCACAGCAGACACTATTAACGTCATACCCAAAGTTGAGTTCTTACTTGTTCCCACGTTGATTTGTTTAAAACATAACATGATTTTGAAAGGGAACTACGCACAAATGCAACCATACCTTCTCCAGATTAACAAAAATTGTGAAATATTTAATTTACTTTGCATTAAAATTAGAATTTATAATGAAACATTACTGTTAATTACTTAGAACATTTATAATGAAATATACTATTTATATTCAGTCTTAAGTGTTCAATAATTATAAAATTCAAAATTCATGTTATTTAAATAAGTAAAATCAAGGTAAAAGATATGTTAATTATCCATCACTATACTAGATCAAAAATTTAAGAAATCGTCACTATACTACATAACAAAATTTAAGAAATCAAACTACTGTACTTCACCTGCCTTACAGTACTATAAACACACACTTGATGGTATGTTCCTTGTACACATACTGTATGGTCAAAGTAATAAACAAATAATTAGCATAAAAAGTAACTCGAAACCAATGAGAAGTAATATAAACAAAATCTCTCGCAAATAGTCACTTATTCACCAAAGCCAATATGCAAGTCGTCATACAGAATGGATGGCAAGTTGGTCTGCCGAGGTGCTAAGACATAGTTCGGTGCACGCCTTCATGAAGGCAATTCCTCACCTAATAGCAAACTATCTACATGGGAACATGTTTCACTTTAGGTTCTGGTACCACACAAACATCCTGCAAATCAACTTAAAATTGCCATAATAGTAATAATAGATTTTGGTATTGTAATACAGAACTAAGTAATTGTAATTACCCAAGTGTAGTTACAGTATGAGCTACGCTCATGGTGTCACATCTTCCCAGCACTGTCATATAACGCCATATTGTAATCAGCTAGTTTTGTTTTTTTGTCTGTGGTCACTGATAGGTAAGCACAGCAGATAGTCTTGTCTAACAAAACTGACAAATTTAACAAGACAAAAAATTTACCATTCTTTTCTTTAATACGTTATATTGTTTAAGCTATTACTGTTTCTCCATATTCAGTGTAAAAACTCAGCAGTGCTTGGACCATTTGCAAAACAAATTGTGCATGGATAGTTTGGCTACAACAAAGCACTTATCACTTGTGCAAATAAAAAAAAAATATAGAATGCACCATCCCCATGGGTCTAGAAGATGGGAGGAAATAAGATGAAGCTGAAACGGGGGAAAAAAAAGTAAAAAATATAAGCTAAAATTTGTGCCAAACATTAATGAATTATAAAGTGATAAAAAACAAATAACGAATTAATTTCTGCAATATTTCTATGGGCAAGCAAGACCAACCAATCTACATCAAAATTTTACTCATATAAAATACAATTTCTTTATTACTAATATGCCTGAATAAATATTAGTGTATTGAAAGTACTGTCAGCTCTATTAAGTTAGTTTATAATTTAGAGACCTGCTTGGTTCATCCTCACAGGACTTCTCTAAAATAAACGTGATCAGCAGTCATTGGAAAGTTGTCTATACATGGTTTATCCTGATTACATCAGCAATGCATTACCTAAACTATAATTATTACAAAACAAAGGACAAATTTTAATACTCGGGAGATGCAAGCCATGAGACAGGAATTTGATTCAAGGCTCAGGCAGAGTTGTCAAGTTAATACTGTCCATGATGTGCATGGAGCGGTCACTTGCTTGAGCAGAGTTCTAAGGGCAATACTGTCCATGATGTGTATGGAGTCCGTCACAAACTCGTGCCAAGTTTCAAGGGCAATATTCTCCATGATATGCATGGAGCCAGTCAATAGCAATGTCAAAATTGCTAATTCAAAAAGAGGGAATGGTGCACGTGATGCTAGCCTTTTGATATCCCACTTTTTGTTTAATAAATGCTAGCTAGCTTGTGTATTTATTAAAGCAGAGTGGTTTATACTCTAGCATCTTTATGCATTTTCTCAGCCATTGCAAACTTGAACAGTGCCCTCCACAAACTGGTTTCAGTAATTTTGGTATAATTTCCAAATATCATTTACATTAAAGATGAAGACCTCACATTTGTAACAAAATTACAGATTAAATTATTATATCACATTCCTTTTCATTGAAACAACTGAATTTCAGTTATCTAATACAATTTAGCTATAAGAAAGATAACTAAACCTATTAAAAAATTTGCTGTTATTTTTCCAATTATAAATGTATAAAAAATTATTTATATAATTTTTGTACTACATTTTCAACACCTAAGATTCTCTGTATGAGAGGTAGAGAAAGTACGGGCCAACAATACATGCACACGAGCACTGTTAACATTATTATGTACACTGGTATAGGGGAAACAAACTGTAACCAGTTACCAGAGTTGTAATGTTACACATACAACAAACATTCTTACAAAACACACACACACACACCTGTTGGTTAATAATGCACAAGCTCAAAGTCTTCTCCAAACTACAATTGCAAAGTAAATATTTCACCCTTGGATGTAATTTATATATAACGTTCAAAATTTTAGATACATAAGAATAATGTAGCAAAATGTAATTTTGTTTCTTGCAGTTTGTTTAGTGAATTGAATCAAAATCTGTGAAAACACATTTCACCCACTACAAGTACTACTTGATAATTACAATATAAAACCTGCTTATCCAAAAACAAAATTACAACAATAGAAAGTATTTATCAACTGACATTTGAGTTTGGCAGTCAAAATCACAACTGGTCTTCTTAATCAAATAATTATGACTTCTTGCTTTCTTGCATTAGGATTTGCAAATCGCTCCATGGCACTTGTCTCTCCAGTGCAGCTCCCGGCCCCTTTAGTCTGCTTGGTTTATGCGTAGACTTCTGCTGCTGCTGCTCACATTTGTGTAGCTTTTGATTGAAAATGATATATTTTCTGGAGATAAATAACTTGAAACTGCACCAAAACTTATTCAGTATTTATTTAGTAGTTTCCAAAGCACTGACTGGCCTACCTTACTAAAGCCATATTTATATAATTTACAATAAACAAAATTATAATAATGCACTTGTTAGCTTATCACTGCGTTCATTTGTAAAATGTTCCTTTACAGTACTGTACAACTGTGCACAAGTTCATATCCACTGGAATCTTTAAAAGTCACTTCACATAGAAAATACGCTTGTGCACAACAGTCAATTGTCTCTGAATACACCAATTATTTTACACATAAATTAGCTGGTGTAAATAACAAACTGTTGGTCATCTGGTGAGGGCATCTCAACCTGCACGTACTGTTGAGTCGAGTTGTAATCTGTCTCGTACTGTGGTGTTGTATTGGCAGCTGCTCGCATGTTGTTTCTGCAGAAAAGAAACAGACTGTCAGTTTTGCACCAATTTGTATTAATACTCTTAACAAATATACTTGCCGTTGTACAATAATATGTTCCACAGTGTGTTTTGACAAACAATTCTGCTTGAAGTCAGTCATGAATATACTGTACCGTAATACTAAGACAAAGACAAAGTTACTGATTCAGCGCCGTCAATTAACAGCAGTGAAGAACTATTCTTCACTACTGTACCAATGATAAACTGGCTGACAGTTAATGTAAATATTTTCCTCTGCCTCTCAACCAAATAAATATATGTAAACTTGTCTTCCCCCTAAATAAAGTGAAAATGGGAGAACTGAAATGATTATTAATGTAAGAACTCATAAATAACATGCAAATATTACATGTTATACATGACTTTTTGGCCACAAGTAAGTCAGACATATACAGGAGTGAGTTTGGATGGATACTGTATAAATACTGTAGGTGCTGCCTTATATGAGCCAATAGGTCTTATGCAGTTTCCTTAATTCTCATGTTCTTAATGTGGAATTATTGTACATAATGAGGTGACTTCTGCCAGCAACTGCCCAGTAAAGCATGAACCAATGAATTTGGTAAATAGGGGTTGTATTGCATATCAACTTGACCCAGAATTACACTTCTTAGCTTATAAACTAAGCTTGGCACAATTGCTCAATAAATGCTCCCAGACACTAACAAACTGTTTCCTGCTTCAGAATGACTAATAGGGAAAATAACTATTAACCTTTTTTTTATTGTGGTACAGTATACTAAATAATTTATTTAAAAAATCAGCACTGTCTTTAGAGGTGATCAATCTACTGTGCATGTTTTGAGTAGGGATACATATTTCACATCAGTTTTTAAATTGCAGTATCAATTTATTTAGATCTCATTACTTATCAGGTTGTAGCCTGCCTCTGCTCTGTTGAAAACATGTGCAGTACAACAAATTATGTGCAAAACATGACATGAATACGAACCACAGTATATGTACAGCCCCTCCTCCTAACACACCCACATTTGGCAACATGGTGGCCAGATTTTAATATCACCTCATAACACATGGCTCCTAAAGAAATGTGAAAAAAACCTGCATATAACAAAAACTATCTGGGAAACTTACTTCGCTTTGGCATGGGTGAGGATGTGTGATTTAAGGTTGGTACTCTGAGCAAATTTCTTATTACATCCATCAAATGGACATACATAGGGTCGATCTCCTGTGTGAATTCGTACATGAGTTCTTAGATTAAAATCCAATGAAAATCTCTTGCCACAGCCCTCAAATGTACACTGAAATACACAAAAGATCCCATAAGAAATTAAATTAACCAACTTCTCTATCATGCATACTACTGAACCTATGTCTCCAGCAATAAAATCTTTCATTATGAATACGGTACTAATTATATATTTACACAGCTTTACCTACCTGAAAAGGTTTTTCTCCAGTGTGTACAAGCTGGTGCCTTTTAAGTTTTGAAGACTCTACAAAAGCTTTACCACATTCTGCACACACATGTACTCTAGGACCATGAGTATGTAAGTGTTTTCTCATGGCAGAATTGTCGCGAAACATTTTATTACAACCCTGTTGGAAAGAAATCACATTTATTCATAAAACATTAAATTAGATGAAAAATTAAATATACTGCAGAACATTTCAAGCATAGGCTTAATAGATATAACAGCAGAGTATTATACATGCAGATGTTCCATTATTTGTTGAAGCTGCAAGCTGGATTGATAAAAGTACCAGGACACTAAGGGAGGATTTGAGGAAAACCCTGGCAATTTTAGCAGCTGAGGTTAGATAGATGGCTATGATTTGCTATCAGCTGTCTCCTAATGGAAAGAATATGCAACAAGTACGCATGTCTGTAGGTCAAGATAATAGTGTTGACTATAGGAGTAATGTAGACAGCAATTAACCAAGATGATGGACTAGATTTTTAAAGGATTTGGCTGCTAGAAAGGGTTTACTACTCTTTAATACTTGTTCTTGAAAAGTGTAATGGTTATTTGACAAGACTAAATAAAGTATTTCATGTTTAGAATAGGGTTAATTCAACACACAAACCTTGTGTGGACAGGCAATTGTTCTAGCAATGTCATCACTACTAGATTTCTTTGGTTTTATCTTTGCAAACTCTGCTAGCTGTTTAGGGTCGGATAGGTCAACTCCAGGTATACCAGCCAACTTCTTGTTTGATCCGGCCATGTACTCTGTATAGTCTGGATCTGGTTCTGGGTTACTGAGGTCATCTGGAAATTTCAAAGACTAGTTTAGTCTGTGAACCTTCAAGATATGAAAGATAAACTTTGAAAACTACCCATTTCATAAAATCTCACAAATAAGCAGACGATGAATCACAATAACGTGGCAGAAGATATGAAGATTAAACCACACATCACAAGATGAGGAGACAACGACGTTTCGGTCCTTCTTGGACCATTATGAAGTTGATTGTAATAAGCAGGCGATGAGTCACAATAACATGGCTAAAGTATGATGACCAGACCACACACTAGAATGTGAAGGGACGACGACGTTTCGGTCCGTCCTGGACCATTCTCACAGTCGACTTGAGAATGGTCCAGGACGGACCGAAACATCGTCGTCCCTTCACATTCTAGTGTGTGGTCTGGTCATCTTGATTGTGATAATGGTCCAGGATGGACCGAAACGTCATCGTCTCCTTATCTTCTGGTGTTGGGTTAGTCCCCACAAATAACATGACCCGTTAAAGAAAGAAGACTAAACAGCAATTTATTCTGTTCTAACCAAATACAGTAACAATACAAGAGGCTCTCACAAATACTGTACCGTATATCTAATATAAATAATTTAGATTTTGATACGACTATACTGTATAAAACAAGTGGCTTGTGATGTGTGCAGAGGTCACAGTGTAAATCAAAACTCGCATAACTAAAACTCAAAAGTACTGAACATGTGAAAAATAGGGCTAGGTTCCAGAAACTTTCAAACTCTACTTCTTTTCACTCTTGACAGAACACCTACAGAGCAAATTTAATTTACTGAAATGCTCAGTAGGCCTACCTCATCCATCAACTTAAATATTGTCAATTGAAAAGGCTAGGTAAGGATGGAAGGGAGTGAGTTCGACAGTCCTTCAAACAAACAAACTGATAAGCCTAGCAGCAAATGCCACCGGATACACAGTACAGTATGACTATAAATCATACATAAACCCAAAACATGCATTATTTCTTATTCTTGCATTATTATGCATTCTATGTCTCCCTTCTTTCACTTTATATTTATTGTGAGATTAAAGCAAGAAAATTTATATTTACTGCATCAGCTACACTTGTCACTATTGGAGGCAGCGGCAGATAGCTGTCACTCTTGATAACACTCACTTCTTTTATCATACGAATTTGTTTTTATTTATAGCTCCTGTCACGACAAAATCATGTACAGTACAGTATTTATGATTTTTCTTACTTTACTTAGGGTAAAATAGTATGGTTGAGACTGATAATGTGTAAAGAATGATAAAAAGAGAAGAGTTGGTAGCCAGTAGTAAGCTTACCACTGGCTGCAACAGGTCGCCTTACCACTGACCACCACCATACTTGCACCACACAACAATGTGACTCGATGCACTTCTTGAAATGACTAAACACTACACATATAATTCTTACTTTATTTAGAACAAAATAGTAGAGATAGGGTTGATTACTTGAATAATTATATGAAGGCAGGTTAATAGCAATATTTCAACCAGCAGGGGCAAGTGATGCAAGTAATTTTGTAAATGATGCAAGACAGGGTCCCTCACTGTCAGAAATAAAACTTTTCACATACAGTACCATTATGGACGCTTGTGTTAATAAACACCATTCTTCAATCTTCCACTTATGGTGATATAGCTTGGGAAACCGGTTTTGGTTAGGTTATGCAAGGTTATTATCCCATTAATCATTATGCTCAACCCACGTAAAGAAAGTTTTGCCAGCACATTAAACAATTATAGTAAAATTGCTCACCCACATAAATCCATATCAGCATTATGTAATACTGTACCACACAAACAACAGGCTGATAGATAATTACAGTATTTTAAAAAGTGACTTCTTAATTAATAGTCCAACTTTTGATCTTTAAAATCTTTGTACGAGCCAAACTACACCAGCTGGGATTCATTTCACAGAGTAACCAAAACTTGGGTCAGTAAATCATATGACAGTTCAATATGACAGCATATGACAAGCATTCAAAAATATTTAAATTTTAAAACAAAGATAAAATACTTCTTTGAATGTAGATGAAGAGCTCCTTTCTGAGCAGACAATATAGTTACTGTACTTCCTTGGGCACTTCTGCTCTTCCAACAATAGAAAGACACTGCCACATTAAGTCAGCACTTCTTGGTCCAGTAGGGATCTTTTTAAATGTCCCTATTGGGTCTGAGTGGGAAACAAAAAAAAAAAAAACTATCCAGCTCCAAGTGATCTCTAGGTCAATCCAAATTTCCACAGATCATGAACATGGTGCCAAGCCTGTGGCTGAATGCATTTCACTTCTTTGCAAAGCAGCCGAGGTAACCACACATTAGTGTGAGGCACAATAGTACAGTACTTTACACGGGCTGAGAAACAGAATCATCACAGAGAATCATATGAAGTGACGAGACACCCTAAGATACCACTGCAGGGCCACCACAGGACACAAAATGATGGACTGGCTGCTGAATGACCCAAGCGAATACCAAGAAGGAACCTGTCCAGAAAGATGGCTAGTAAAGCTTAGCCAAGAGGGAACTGGTCGAACGTGAGCAGAACCTTGCTCACAAAACCCCCCTCACTTCCAAACAAGATAAACTCGAACAGCAACAGTGATCAAGAAATTCATCCAAATAGTTACATACCTGTAGCCAAAGCCAACAAAACAAAATCTTAAGATTAAAGTCTTCAATGATAGTTATGCTCAAAACCAAAGTAGTCTACACAAAAATTACAAGATTGCATCGAGACCAGGCAGGTTCCAATAGAGCATGAGGGCAGAATGACTATTGTCATTCTGAGGTATTGTACTCTACCTGGTCTAATAAACAGGAAACAAGACAGACCCATGCCAAGGGCAAAATGAGGCTGTGCCAGAACTGCCCAATAAAATGCAACAGACATACTCCGCTATTTGACCTGTTCACTCTTTATCACACTGTTTATAATTAGATTTTGCTGACCATTCTTAACTGTCCATGTAATTTCTAATTTGAGTGTCTGTGCATGCACTAAACATTGAATTTGACTCTTAGGCCATTTATAAATAAAACTGTTCCTCACTTGTGATATAAAAAAGATTATTGATAAGTACAGTATATGTATTTGTGTAGCAATTATATATATATATATATATATATATATATATATATATATATATATATATATATATATATATATATATATATATATATATATATGCGAACAAGCCTGAATGGTCCCCAGGAATATATTTTTTATATATATATATATATATATATATATATATATATATATATATATATATATATATATATATATATATATGTATGTATGTATATATTATGTATGTATGTATATACAGGTGTATGTATGTATATACAGGTGTATGTATGTATATACAGGTGTATGTATGTATATACAGGTGTATGTAACATTAACAACTGTATAACTAGCTTCAAAAGATTGTCACTTGCTTAGCTAAATTAACTATGGAGGTTACATAGTTAACCTGAACCGATTATGTGCCTTTGTAACCCTTTCCACCACCGGCCACGGGATGGGTATGGACTGCATAACTAAGAAAGAAATTGACTTCATTGTTGACTTTAAGCATTGATTTTTGGCAAATCCAAGTGCATTTCCATTTTCAGGAGGTTTTGATAGGGCTATTACGGTATACGTATCTTAAGCCAAATCCAGGGTGTGCATAAGTTTTGGAATTGAATACTATAATGTTAGTAGTTGCACTAATGTTGGGAGGGGTTGCTGTAGTAACTTTGTTTGGGGGGGGGTTGTTAAGGTGGTTTGTTCTGGGGTTGTTGGGAATGGGGTTTGTTGGGGGAGTTTAATGAGGCATTGTTGTGGTGGAGAGTTGGCAATCTTTATTACATTACTGTACAGAATTTGGAAATGCTTTGTTTTGGTGTCAAAAATAAGAGAGGCAAATTATGGGGCTAGTCTCCAGACACTATTTATTACATCATTTTTTTTTTTTAGATATTATGAACTGTACATCTGCCTGAAAACAAAAGAACAAAAAATAAAATATATCCCCTAAAATTTGGAAAAAATCTTATTATTTTTGTAAGACCATGCACCAAATCATGGAAATATTAATGTTATAATATTTATTCGTATTCTAACAAGTTTCTAGGACTCCATTCCTATTTTAATGTGGTAAATATATTCAATGAGTTTCTGGTATTTTTCAGGTTTCATTCTATGGACTGGTGTGGCTTCTTCTAATTTTTGTTTAGGCACTGATGTCTGGAGGATAACTTCATCCTTTTCCAAAAGTACATTATTATTTTATTATTATTATTTTTTTTTTTGGGGGGGGGGGGATTTTTTTAGAATTTTGGGGGGACATGGATAGCTACAGTATTCAATGTGACTGCATATTCCCCTGACATAGTACAGTATTTATATAAATTTGCCATTTTTGTCAGTCTCTCTTACATTGCCTGTTCTGTTATTGACTTTTATTTTGTTATTGTACATACTTTATCTGTAGCAATTTCTAGTCTGGTATTCTCTGAATCTCTTATATAGATTGTCTGGCTGTCAGGTTTTCAAGATTTCCTTTTTCTGGTCTGTTAAGTGTGTCGTTTGATACTGCCGCTATTTCCATTCTCTCATTTGGCATATAGTACAGTACAGTAATTGTTTTTTCCTGTTTTTCTCCACTTTTGTACTCATCCTGGGCCTTTTCTTCCTGGTGATATACTAATACTGTATATATCAAAGACCAGGAGGAGAAAAGTGTTTTCCATTGTAAGAAATGAGAGCACAAAGTATACATAACCCTCACCAAACCTAAGAGTTGTAACTACGTTGGATGCAGACCACTGTACTACTTAGAAATTGGGTGATGTGATACTGTGCTATCCCAATCCCAACAGAGGTCGATGGAGTACTGAATATTTCAATACAGGCCAATGTACTCGCCTAGTTGTGCTTGCAGGGGTTGAGCTTTAGCTCTTTGGTCCCACCTCTCAACTGTTACTTATCTGGTGTACAGATTCCTGAGCCTACTGGGCTCTATCATATCTACAGTTTAAACTGTGTATGGAATTTGCCTACACCACATCACTGTCTAATGCATTTCATCTGTTAACTATTCTGACACTGAAAAATGTCTTTCTGCATCCCTGTAGCTCATTTGGGTACTCAGTTTCCACTTAGTGTCCCCTTGTTGACCAGACCACACACTAGAAGGTGAAGGGACGATGACGTTTTGGTCCGTCCTGGACCATTCTCACAATCGACTTGAGAATGGTCAAGGACGGACTGAAACGTCGTCGTCCCTTCACCTTCTAGTGTGTGGTCTGGTCAACATACTTTAGCCTCGTTATTGTGACTCATTGCCTGCTTGTGTCCCCTTATTTGTAAACCATCCATGCTAAACATTTTATCTTTATCTACTCTATCAATTCCTGAAAATTTTATAGGTAGTGATCATGTATCCCCTAACTCTTCTGTCTTCCAGTGTCGTGAGGTTCAGTGCCAGTATTCTTTCCTCGTAGCTCCTCTTTGCTATGAGGACTAGCTTGGTGGCTTACCTCTGATCCTTTTCTAACTTTGCTTTGCGTTTGACTAGATGTTGACTCCACACTGGAGTTGTATTGGTCTGACATATGAGGTATGAAAGGTTCTGAATGATTCCTTACACAAGTTCCTGAAGGCAGTTCTTTCTAATAGAACATGGTACAGTAATGTGGTACAATGTTGTTGGATACAGGCCACATAGTGGTGTTATTGGATTAAAGCAATGTGGTGCTGTAATTTGGATACAGCCAAATGAGGTCATGTTATCTGGAAACAAGTCAATGATGTGCAGTATACAGTTTCAAATGTAGATATGATAGAGCCCAGTAGGCTCAGGAATCTGTACACCAGTTGAGTGACAATTGAGAGGCGAGACCAAAGAGCCAGAGCTCAACCCCTTCAAGCACAACTAGGTGAATATTATTTGGATACAGGTTAATTTAGCACTGTACTACAGTATTTTGATACAGGCAGATTGGGCACTGTACTATTTGGATGCATGTTAATGGGGCACTGTACTATCTGGATGTACTGTATGTTAATGGGGCACTGTACTGTTTGGATACAGGCAGCTGGGGAAGTGTGTTATTTGCATAAAGGCCATGAGGATGCTGTGCTATATGTATAAAGGCCATGAGGATGCTGTGCTATATGTATAAAGGCCATGAGGATGCTGTGCTATTATGTATAAAGGCCATGAGGATGCTGTGCTATTTCTATAAAGGCCATGAGGATGCTGTGCTATTATGTATAAAGGCCATGAGGATGCTGTGCTATTATGCATAAAGGCCATGAGGATGCTGTGCTATTATGCATAAAGGCCATGAGGATGCTGTGCTATTATGCATAAAGGCCATGAGGATGCTGTGCTATTATGTATAAAGGCCATGAGGATGCTGTGCTATTATGCATAAAGGCCATGAGGATGCTGTGCTATTATGTATAAAGGCCATGAGGATGCTGTGCTATTATGCATAAAGGCCATGAGGATGCTGTGCTATTATGTATAAAGGCCATGAGGATGCTGTGCTATTATGCATAAAGGCCATGAGGATGCTGTGCTATTATGTATAAAGGCCATGAGGATGCTGTGCTATTATGCATAAAGGCCATGAGGATGCTGTGCTATTATGTATAAAGGCCATGAGGATGCTGTGCTATTATGCATAAAGGCCATGAGGATGCTGTGCTATTATGTATAAAGGCCATGAGGATGCTGTGCTATTATGTATAAAGGCCATGAGGATGCTGTGCTATTATGCATAAAGGCCATGAGGATGCTGTGCTATTATGTATAAAGGCCATGAGGATGCTGTGCTATTATGCATAAAGGCCATGAGGATGCTGTGCTATTATGCATAAAGGCCATGAGATGCTAAGCTATTTGCAAAAAAGCCAGGGGATGCTATGCTATTTGGATAAAGGCCTTGGGGAAAGTGTACTATTTGCATAAAGGCCATAGGGATTCTGTGCTATTTGAATATATGAAAGCTGATGTGCTGTATTTCTGAATACAAGAATGTGAATACTGTACTGTTTTTGGGAGCAGTGCTAATTCAATACAAATATGCCAATGGGGACTGTACAATTTGGATACAGGCCACTGTAGTGCTGTAAACTATTTAGATACAGGTTCAATTTAGATACAGATACAGGCACGTTGTGCCTGTATCTGGATGCCGATAGAAGTTGCACAATAGGAGTTGTGCTATTTGGATGCCGATAACAAAAAAGCCACTTATCTTACCCGCTTCCATTTTACTTATTTTCAAATGAAAGGTTTAAAAAAAAATCTTTACCAATTACATGATAAACTAGATTTATTACTGCAGACACTGTCATTACTAAAAACTTCCTCCACTGAAATATTAACACTGCATGACATTTATTCTTCCACATTCTAACTTTAATATGTCCAAAAGAACTGTAAAAAATATTATATTAACTGTAGATTCTTGTGTGGAGGATTCCTCTACAATAGGCTTACAGCTTTATTGACATTACTTTGCCCATTAAACATTTTATCATATCTTTTCTCTTATTTGCCTTATGTGAAAATTACTATATTTTATGTTGGTAATTGAGGTATGCAGATGAATTCTGCCATCTAATCTAACCCATCACCTATAAAAGTATTTTAGGGTACTGTAGCACTGGATGTAAAACTATTTCTAACACAAAATTTAGTTTTTAAATTATAATTTATGAACAAAACAACCAGGACGAAATCCTTTTCTTTAACTACTGTATTTGGCATTTATCATCGTAAATGTAATAACTTTCCCTGAAGAAATTAAAAAACATTTTTTATTTTAGACAAACATTACAAAAGTTAATAGTTCATTTGTGCATATATGCAGCCTACATCCCATATAAAAGATTTCTTCAATTTTAAATTGTTAGTTAATTTGCGACTTTCAACCCCCGTACTGATCAGGAATGCAAACATTCTTCAAAAATAAATTCGATTCTCTTAATATATTCATCAAGGTCAGAGATCTGGCACCAATGGCGGCTGTCAGGCACTTCGTACACCTATCTCCTACTCCAATATAAACCCTTAACTTAAATAATATCACATTCCGTGAGTGTGAGCGCTGCTAGAGTATGACCTCCCACATGCTGGCATAGTCAAGGGTCACCTTGTAAGGTTATACTCAAGAGTATGAGGATAGACTCTAGCCCCCCTCCCCTCCCCATGCCCCGAGGGCCAAGGTCGACCTCCACACTCATCCTCAATTATATTGCTCCTCGTCCCCGTCCTCCAGCGGCTCCCTGGCCCAAACCCACACCCAGGTTATAAATAGGTCGGCACGCGGGGATATACTGTCCTCCCAACATGTTTCTCTGCCCGCGGCCGAGTAAACGCCACAAAATACTGGGAGCGAGTCCCGGCCTCCGCCTGAAAATGGCGACCGTCCGCCATTGTTGCTTTTCCGCCATATTTCGGTGCCATATTTAACATGGCTGCGCCCAGGCCTTCATGGCGGACACAAAACAAAAACAAACATTGAGAGCCCAGCCATAACCCAGGCCAAATCCAGCCATCTTAACGCTAAGAGCCCACCAGTGGTGGAGCAAGAGCGCCTTATCGATCTCCAGGCCAGGATGAGGAGGCGGTGTAGGTGGTAGTGGCGTGATAGGGACAAGATCCTGCTGAGAGAGACAAGAGACTAATACACAACACTCACGCCTACCTTCGTCTACCCCCGAGGACCACATCGTCACAGAGAACTCCCCCTCCAACGTCTTGATCTGCACTTGCTTCTGCTCCCACTTCTGGCCCACACTGGCGATGGAGGTGAACTCGTCCAGCTCTCGTCTCCGCTTCTGGCCCTTCTTGTGGTGCTTCTTGGAGGGCCCCGGCGACGACTCCACACACACGTCGCTGTCCACGGGCACCGGGATCTCGTAGGGGATCTCCTGCTCGCCCACCACCTCCTCCTGCGTCTGGAAAATGATCTCCTCGCGACCAGGTTCGGGCAACTGTTGGAGAGCGATGATGGGTTCACCGTCGTAGGTCTCTATGGTCTCCACGGGCATATCCACCGGTATGGCCTCTATCTCCACCTCCTGTATCTCCGGCTGGACCTCCACCTCCGTCACGAAGTCGGAGGAAGCCATTTTTTCAGGCCGTGACACGGTAGGAAGGGACTAAGTCACCGCACTTGACACCACCACCTCCACTATTGCCAGTCCTCCATTCTTACTCCAACACCTCCACCACCTGCCACACGCCGCCTCCACACACACTAACACTATTTTCCTCCCTGCCCTTTAACCCATCTCTAAGATCAGTTAGCTAGGAGGTTAAGGAGCGGCCATAGTGTAGTAGAGTTATAATGAGTGTGTGGCTTAGAGGGGTGTGGAGCGGGGGAATATTAGGAACATGAACACTAGCCGAGCACAGACTCTCACCACCGCAGAGTTCACTGTTGAGCGCATGACGTCATCACGCGCCAACTTTGACTTCCTTAGTTCACAACCTATCAAAATATTATTAATAATCATACATGCTGCATTTATTTACCAATATTTTATTTGGACACTGGTTCAGAAGACACATATGCAGAACACAAAAATATTTCGCAAACAAAATATCAATATATCTATAATAATACTGGAAAGCATTTAATATTAGTAATAATAGCCCTACCACTATCATCTATAACAAATAAACAGACCATAACAAAGTAAGAATTATGAGAAATAGTATACAAGATTTATATTTATGCACTGTGATAAGCAAAGTGTAAAGAGTCAGGTCGGGGGCCTGGCGGCTGAGTAGACAGCCCTCGGGAGTCGTAGTCCTAAGGTTCCGGCTTCGATCCCCGACGGAGATGGAAATAATAATAATAATAATAATCATTTTTATTTAGGTAAGGTACATACATAAAGAGATTTTACAAAGTTTGTTGGGTTAATAGATAGAGCTAGTACATACAATGCCTAAAGCCACTATTACGCAAAGCGTTTCGGGCAGGAAATAAATGGGCAGTTTCTATCACCCTGGTAGGACATGGTAGAGGAAAGATAGTATGACATGGTAGAGGAAAGATAGTATGACATGGTAGAGGAAAGATAGTATGACATGGTAGAGGAAAGATAGTATGACATGGTAGAGCAGGGATAGTAGGACATGGTATGAACAGGAGTAGAGATAGTAGAATATGGTAGGAGCAGGAATAGTAAGACATGGTAGGAACAGGAGCACGGATAGTAGGACATAGTAGGAACAGGAATAGTAGGCCATGGTAGAGCAGGGATAGTAGGATGTTATTAGCATGGATAGTTGGACGGTAGGAGCATGGATAGCAGGATATTATAGGAGCAGCAATAGTAGGACATGGTAGAATCAGGAATAGTAGGTCAGAGTAGGAGCAGGGATAATAGGACATGTCAGGAGCTGGGTTAAGGCAGGGTAGACAAAGAGATAGATGCTGGGGCAGGAACTGGGAGGATGAAGTGAAGAAACGGTCCCCCAACCCTTTGGGTTTGTTTTGATGCGTTGATTAAGGCTCATGATTTTATTTGAGTCTCTCCAACATTCCAATTCACCTGACCGTGCTATAAAATAATAACCAATGAGTTACAAGCAGAATGTTGGATTAATAGATATATAGCTAGTACAGTATATACTATTCCTAAAGCCACTAATATGCACAGAATTTCGGGCAAGATGTAGGAGAAAAATGGCTCTCAGGTAAATTCAGTAATAAATAAATAAATAAATTTATTAAGAGCATATAAGTATATTAAGAGTTGTCCAAAACGCTGTGCGTGTTAGTGGCTTTGTGGAATTTGTAACTTTCCCACCAACACTGTTAATTTGGTAAATTTTTTGTTTACTTTCTTGCAAGTATTTTTAATGTAGGAAAAATTTATCACAGCATAATTTGGTTAGTTAGGGCGTGAAGTCGCTCCCTTTGTAAATAAGTCTCCGTTTTCTATTCCTTAATACGCATTTTAAGTGACTAACATATCTATATTTTACTATAATAATAATAATAATAATTTATTTAGGAAAAGTACATACATAGTTGCAGAGTTACAGTACAAACATTCTGTTTGATTTAAAGATAGAGGTAGTACATACAATACCTAAAGCCACTAGTATGCATAGCGTTTCGGGCAAACTTGGTATTGTTTGATTTCTTACCTGAAATTACCCTCCATAGACTTTATACATACACATAGCCATGCCGCTCTTTCACATTTGCATCCGATGGAATAAAGAAGAATGTCAATATATTACGAAGCAACTAATTAGTGGTTCGTTCTCGACTCACAATCGAGAATCTTGGGTTCGATCCCCGGGAAGGGACGGAAATGGTTGGGTGCATTTCGTATCACCTAATGCATCTGTTCACCAAGCAGTAAGTAGGTTCCCAAGAGGTAGACAGATTGTTGTGGTGGTTGCATCCTGGGCGTGGTCTGTAATTCGACCTCGGGGGGGGGGACTTTGATATAAGCCTAACGTGTATGAATACACTCTGGCTGCCTGTTCCCCGACACAATGAATTACTATGAATTATATGCCTAACGTGTTATACACAGGATACCTGTCCCCGACGAAATGAATTATTATTATTATTTGGGTTATATTTATTTATTTATTTTTATATATGCAAGAATGTACAATAATCTATATTGTATTTTGGTAGGTGCTACATTCTGGCAAGGCAAAACTAGTAACGCATTATATAGCGTTTCTTGCTTGTCTTACACCTATACACAGCTCTAGGTAAGGTATATACCTGAGGGCCACTAATACTAGTGACCTCGACGAGGACAGGAAGCCGGCGGCTTGTCGAAGGTATATACACCTATAGAGTTAATTTGCCCTAGTCCTGGCCTAGTCCTGTTCAGAATAGAACATACCTGCTGGGGGCCTATTATAGTGGTCTTAATAGCTCTTCAGAAGTTCACGGGCCAAACCGAGCCAAACCCAGGGTGAAAAAAAGACATACCATGAAGTACAGCAGTATAGAGAGGAGATACAGTACTAGACAATTGTGAATCATTGCTACATGGTAAGATAAAATTAGGGTTTTCCACCGGACTAATAATGATAGTGAATTTAAAGTTGAAAACATAGTTGCGAGTGGTCCAGGAGCCACCATGTAGGCGACCTCCAGCATCACAGCGGACCCCGCACCTGCTAGGCTTTAAAAAAAATTAAAATTTTTGCCCCGAGGGGCGAGTTTATTGGGCAGCGCCACTCATCTTGTGAGTGGACATACCGCCATAGCAGCATGTACAACACTCCCCAATAGGAAGAAAACCCGCTGGGTTGCTCATCCTGTCACTTGTACCCAGACACAGCTGGGACTTGCTTGTCTGCTTCCCGCATGCACCACAGGATATGGTGTCAAATGTGCTACTGCAGTCTTTAATCGTTGTCTCTCACGTGTTGAAATAACCTTTGATGAGACTATACAGTGCTGGATTAAGCGTTGGCAGGGTGCATGTAGTGTGGGATTAAGTGGTAACAGGTTTCATACTACTGCTTGAATGCATGTTATCCGTATCATTCTTATCGGGAGGCATGGATTAATAATTAGGAAAATGTTCTATAACATTTTATATTTATTATTTTTTATATAGTTCATTTCAGTTAAGGTCTCCTAGTGCTGGGCCCAATTGGGTGCAATTGGTCAAATTAACTTCAAGTCGGATCTGCACCAAATTGCACACTGAGAGTTTAGCCCTGACATATGCTTAGGATTAAAGAATTCTTACTGGCTGGTCAGTAAGCTATTGTGATAGCCTGCCCCCACCCCCCAGTGGGTACAATATCCTAGAACAACGTTAATTCAACATTGATGGAATTACTCGTGGATTCTGTGGGTCAGAAGTTAGTAGACCTTAATCCTGACATGAAATCAACAAGATGAGTTTAATAAGCGTCAAGTGATGGATCCCCAGTACGAGGCTTTCCTTAGGCACTGGAGTGAAAGTGAAAGCCGTGGGTCCAGGTAAGGTCACACCTGTCTACCCAACAGTCATTAATGCTCACCTCAACTCAATGGTATATTATATAGAACTTGGCATGTTCCAGGTAAATTAAGATTACTAAAATTACTCACTGTTTGGAGGCGTATAATAAGGGCTGATTTAACTGAATAGTTAAAAAATATATATATTTTGTTAAGAATAGTGTTTTAGTTCAAGTATAACCATCGTCTATAAGCAACAGCTAGATAGACCGTTCAAGTATTAATCCAGAACTGTAAAATATGGATTTATTGTTAATGATTGGCTGGGTCAGCCTAGGTTTGTTTTGGTGATGGAGGCGAGCTAGGAGCTCACTCATGGTAACTGACCAATCACCGTGCGGATATAATGGCTGTTGCAATACAACGCTATCCCTATAACTTTCATTGCATCACAAGTTGCAACTTTGGAAAGCGTAACTTAAGAATTGCCAGTCACAGTAAACATCAATGCTACATATTGTTTGGCAAAAATCTCACTTTCTAGGTAAACATTAAAAAAAAAGAATATAAACAAATCATTTAATAACCATATATTTTTTTTTTAGGTTCATCGTTTCCAAATAATGAAATTATATTGCTACTAGAGCTTGACACATTTTATCCAGTTCTACAATTACTTTTGTTATTTAGTTTATAACAAATAAAGTTAGCTATTATATACCTGGAAGGGGAATTCCCTAGGCGCCTCCACTCACCAGAAATATAAAAATATGACAACACTCTTGGACCTGGACCCATCACAGTCCAATTTAGCCTTGATAATGGTTCTGGTTAAACTATAACGTCAATGTTCAACTTGTAGTTTGTTTATGTGTAAATATATAATTGTACCTCCATTATGGAGCTTGAATTAAACATAAAATAATCCAGTCTTTGTGGACACAACAGGAAACAGACCTTCGTAGCACTTTCACTATGAGGCTGCCAACATTCCCACACCATGTAGGTATGTAGTTCCACCAATGTTTATGTTATGACATATATTTAGCATAGTATGTAAACTATGTCTTACAGTTATCGTTGTTCTCCAAAATAAAATAGGTTTGAAATAATTCACGGAAAAATTTAATTCAAATGCAATGTGCATCAGGTAACTCTCACCACGTGCTGACGGAGAGTGAGGCCCAGACACTCAGTGAATGTCCAGTCACTGGTGCAGTGAGTCAACTCTTCCTCCTCACTTCTCACTCACCTTAATGTGAGTCTTGGGTCCTCCTCAGACTGTACAAGCGAGGTATAAGACTTAAAACACTCAAGTGTGTGTGTAACCATGAGAACGTTGCGTCACTTGACTCGACCACATCGCAGGAAGACAATTAGGAAACATTTAACAGGTGTTTGTGTACTTGTGTGAAATCCCGTTTGAGTTATATAGAGTCTGGAAGATTGCCAGAAGTTGAGAGATAGACAAGACACTGGAACACCTCGCTGGTGTAGACGACGGAGCAGCCGCTGGGTTACCAAGTCCCACTTTGCCTCTCCCTTCCTCTCTCGCACAGTAAGCCACTCCTCAGACAGTGGAAACCCCAGTCTCCTCGCTGCTTCACAAAGGTAAAGGTGAGTGGTGAGGGAGAATGGTAGGAGGAGGGGGGAGTGAGGGAGAATGGTAGGAGGAGGAGGGGGGAGTGAGGGAGAATGGTAGGAGGAGGAGAGGGGGGAGTGAGGGAGAATGGTAGGAGGAGGAGAGGGGGGGAGTGAGGGAGAATGGTAGGAGGAGGAGAGGGGGGGAGTGAGGGAGAATGGTAGGAGGAGGAGAGGGGGGGAGTGAGGGAGAATGGTAGGAGGAGGAGAGGGGGGGAGTGAGGGAGAATGGTAGGAGGAGGAGAGGGGGGGAGTGAGGGAGAATGGTAGGAGGAGGAGAGGGGGGGAGTGAGGGAGAATGGTAGGAGGAGGAGAGGGGGGGAGTGAGGGAGAATGGTAGGAGGAGGAGAGGGGGGGAGTGAGGGAGAATGGTAGGAGGAGGAGAGGGGGGGAGTGAGGGAGAATGGTAGGAGGAGGAGAGGGGGGGAGTGAGGGAGAATGGTAGGAGGAGGAGAGGGGGGGAGTGAGGGAGAATGGTAGGAGGAGGAGAGGGGGGGAGTGAGGGAGAATGGTAGGAGGAGGAGAGGGGGGGAGTGAGGGAGAATGGTAGGAGGAGGAGAGGGGGGGAGTGAGGGAGAATGGTAGGAGGAGGAGAGGGGGGGAGTGAGGGAGAATGGTAGGAGGAGGAGAGGGGGGGAGTGAGGGAGAATGGTAGGAGGAGGAGAGGGGGGGAGTGAGGGAGAATGGTAGGAGGAGGAGAGGGGGGGAGTGAGGGAGAATGGTAGGAGGAGGAGAGGGGGGGAGTGAGGGAGAATGGTAGGAGGAGGAGAGGGGGGGAGTGAGGGAGAATGGTAGGAGGAGGAGGGGGGGGAGTGAGGGAGAATGGTAGGAGGAGGGGGGGGGAGTGAGGGAGAATGGTAGGAGGGGGGGGGGAGTGAGGGAGAATGGTAGGAGGGGGGGGGAGTGAGGGAGAATGGTAGTAGGGGGGGGGGGAACAGTATGTGTCCGAAGACGCGAAAGTCGCTGAAGGGAGAAAAATAACTTTCCGGGTACTTGCCTTAATTAAATTTGTAAGAACGTGTGTACCGTTGGGTCCGTGCCGTAGGCGGTGTACCGCTTGTTCTAAATCACATCAACCAGTTTGTCTTGTTTTACTTTACTGTGAACCAATGTAATTTATCACAAACCTTGTGTTGAGAGTATTAATTGGTCGACTAAATATACCATTTCAGAATGTATATTTGTTGGAGCAGAAAACAGTGGCAAATGAACTTAAGACACTGAGATCAAGAATGAGGTAGTTTTTCTGCAAGATGTATACGCATTCTAATGCATATGTATGATGTGCTCACCTAGTTGTGGTAGCGGGGGTTGAGCTCTGGCTCTTTGGTCCTGTTTCTCAACTGTTAATCAACTGATGTACAGATTCCTGAGCCTATTGGGCTCTTATCATATCTACATTTGAAACTGTGTATGGAGTCAGCCTCCACCACATTGCTGCTTAATGCATTCCACCTGTTAACTACTGGCACACAAGTTCTTTCTAATGTCTCTGTGGCTCATTTGGGTACTCGGTTTCCACCTGTCCCCCCCTTGTTCGTGTACCACCCGTGTTAAATAATCCATCATTGTCTACCTGTTAATTCATACACATGTGTGTGTTTGTCAAAACGAAATTTGACAAACTTCCTGTTTTGAAAAATGTAATAATTTTACTACAATTGTTTATGTATCCTTACTTAAAAATATCATTATGAAACGCCTATTGAAACACTTAATTTGATAATTAATTCACAACACTACGCAAATATTTTTAGTCTTAATTCAGTTTGGAAAGTTTTTAAAAATTTGGAGTCGTGTATATAATTGAGTTTATGGCAATGTCTTTTTTAATTATAGGAAAACAAATATACAAGTAAATTAAGTCGTTCATCTTCGATGCACAACTCTTGTTTGATTTACTTTTAAAAACAATTGAATTCATCTCTGGGTGAACCATTTAAAAGATTAAGCAACAATACACAATACCCCACACTATAGCGCTTCACTATACCCCACACTATAGCGCTTCACTATACCCCACACTATAGCGCTTCACTATACCCCACACTATAGCGCTTCACTATACCCCACACTATAGCGCTTCACTATACCCCACACTATAGCGCTTCACTATACCCCACACTATAGCGCTTCACTATACCCCACACTATAGCGCTTCACTATACCCCACACTATAGCGCTTCACTATACCCCACACTATAGCGCTTCACTATACCCCACACTATAGCGCTTCACTATACCCCACACTATAGCGCTTCACTATACCCCACACTATAGCGCTTCACTATACCCCACACTATAGCGCTTCACTATACCCCACACTATAGCGCTTCACTATACCCCACACTATAGCGCTTCACTATACCCCACACTATAGCGCTTCACTATACCCCACACTATAGCGCTTCACTATACCCCACACTATAGCGCTTCACTATACCCCACACTATAGCGCTTCACTATACCCCACACTATAGCGCTTCACTATACCCCACACTATACTTCAACAGTTGTTAAGGTGACCTGTAGGGTGACCTGCCTTACCACTTTGTCCCGGGGGAGGTGAAGTAGGGTCACACAAACCCGACCTCGGGTAGTTTCAAAGGTTGGCCGGGCTAGTCCCTTTACTAAGAAGTTACCAGCTTCAGGTGTGGTAATAATCCAACGGAAACAGGAGGGATAGAGTGACAAAAGCTGGGGCCAAAGTTGTTTCAAAATATAAAGTTACTGCCCCGCTCCTGTGCCAGGTAAGTCCACTACGGGTTCACCATAGCCCGTGCTACTTGCAGGAACGTTTTGTTCAGAGTAGCTGAATCTAAAACAACAAAAACAACGTTGTTTGAAGGAGTGTGTGCTGCGGTCTCAGATCAGACAGGAGTCTGGTCCACTGGGGGGGCATCACAGGGGGAGGGGGGGGGTGTATATATCGATAACTTTGAGTATTTTTTAATTACTCAAGAATTTACATAAAATAATTACAACTTATTAGTGGAATAAAAACAAATGGTTGAATTTTGCAATGACGCGAAACAACGGGTCAGTTATAGTTTAGTTCATTTATTGTGCACCCCATACCCATCCTGTGGGCGGTAGTATAAAGGGTTACAGAGGCACATAATGGGCTCAGGGACTGAACCACACAATTCATTTTAGCTAAGCAAGTTACAATCTTGATGAGCTAGCTACAAAATTCAATGTACATCGTCATATCAACAATAGGCTAGAGATCGACCACAGGTAGTTTCTGAATTAAGCAACTAACATATATTGAGAGCAATAGTGTCACAATTCATATGTGTATCCTGCACACCGCCCCCATCCAATGGGCAGCGGTGGATAGGTTACAATCACTTAGTTACTACCTACAGTTAGCAAACTGGGGATATTTGGCTAAGATTTCTGGTAGCAGATAGTTTTGAATGAAATGTCAGTTATAGACAATTAAAACTACAGTTTAAGCGTTACAATGGGGTTGTGATATACTGTCACGTCTACAACCCCGCCCCCCGGCCTCGCCACAAGGTGTGGCGGCTATAATGACGGTGTCCTTGGGTCAACCGCGAACATGACGAACCTCAGACAGTGAGTATTAGTTACAATTACGCCATATTTTGCAAACTAAAGTCGCAGATATGTTTGTTGGCTGCGATCGTTTACGAGTGAAGCTGTTCATTAATAGGTACATAACCAAATATGGTTGTTAATCATAATGTTGTGTAGGACTTGGGGCTGGAATTTAGCAGAGACAAAAGTTTTAACGGAACAATTGGCAGCCGTGCGTGACAATCTGGTGGTGACGTCCGGGGGGGGTGAGAGGGGGATTGCGAAGGCCGTATATATGTTCTTAACCATTCCAACAACAGTTTCCCTTCTTGTGCTTGTAGGCTTGAGCGCTACATCCTATTCCACGCATTTCAACCCTTCGGTTGTTTATTGCAGTGATTCGTTTTCCTTGTGCAGGTTAACATGTTGAAAGTTGGGTCCGTCTGTAGGTGACCTTGGACGGCCCCGGCCTCCCCTCTCGTGCTGGTGGCGGGGACCTGGCCGCTCCTGCTCCCAAGGCCGTGCTCTCGTGGGTCTTTTCTCAGAGCGGTTGTTGGGAAAGGAATTATGGTCTGGCTAAATGAAATGCCGACACCTTTCCTATTTCCTATAAACATGGCAAACTGGAGGTCTTGCTCAATAGGCGGAAGCTAGGGTTTGGTAAACAACTTTCAGCCAACGCTGATGTCAGTGTTTTTCTTACTCCCTGTATAATTCAAGTTAGAGTTTAGTGGTTCTCTTAACATATTAATACCATTATTTTCATCCATTCTAAAGTTGTTCCAGTAGTATGGAGTGTTGCTGACATTATCTAATCCGCTCGGTGGTCTCCACGTGAAGTGAAGGGCTCATATACGGCTCCTGCCCGAAACGCTGCGCGTACTAGTGGCTTTACAAGATTGTAATGACTATACTATGTATCCTTACAATCTCAATTTACCTTCTTGTATATATTATAAATAAATAAATAAAATATAGGGCTCCCAGGGGCTGGTGGTTCGTCCTCGGCCCCCCCCTTCCCTCTCTAGGGGTAGTGCTGAGGTAGGGTATCCCTCGGGTCACCAACCCACCCTCCGGAGAAGTCGGCCGTGAGGGGCCGCCCTTTGGAGGTTGGTTGGATGTCCGGGCTGGGGCGAGATGTAGAGCAAGGTCTTTGCACTGGTGAGAAAATGTACGATGCTGTAGGACTCTCCCTGTTGAAAAGGGGGGCAGCACTGCTTGGGATGATGCACCCTTTCGTGCACTGGCAAGCACTTGGTCTCCCTCGCTGCCCTGGTAGATGATATCCTTTGGCTCTGAGGCTTAAACTTGAAAACAAAAAGATATACGGTGACTGAAACGATTTCAGAAACAGATTCGTGGGGTGGGTGACGGGGGCCCCGATGTTTGACGGTAATAGAAGATTGGGCTCCGTAGTAAGTTACATTGGGTCCAAACCCGGCTTCATCGTTGGCTTTCCCAACAAATTCTGTGTTTCCCTCCCACTTCCTTGGTAGTGCCAGTCCCCAGTGGTGATTCTCTATCACCTGGAGCGGCTCCATCTTTAGTTCCGACAACTGCGCCTCCTTAATTAATGGTTAACCGAACACCATCGCTATCTCTCCACCTCTCCATTTGGCTTTCGCAAGTGTCAGCACGACTGATATCTTAATTGGTGGACTTGGAGGTCCACATCCGTACTACCCTTGCTGCAAATACCTCCATTGTTGCAGTACTTTTGTGACCAATAAATGGTTCATGATACTATCTTCAGTTTCTTTAATTCTCATATTTCTCTGTTACATGTTTTCCCGCTTACGCCCAGTCGACCCTTCGCTGACTTTGAATGTTGTACTCCTGCCTCGTCATTTTAACAGGACTAACACAACAGGGAATGCTGAAGCAGGTTTGCTATAGCTGATGGTTGCTTCCTTAAACAACAGGAAAATAATATTACAGACTTAGTGTTATCAAATTGGGAGGTATTTATTATAACATGGAAATAGGGAGTAAGTGAGGGACCAGCGATTACAAGGAAATCAGATTTGCCATACTGTTGGTGCCAGACTTTTGTAAAGCTGATGATAAGGAGTTTCTTGGGAAGGGGTTGACAATGGATGACGGAGCCTTGAGGTGGATGACATGACAGTGGATATCATGGTGGTAGCAAAGCGCACTTTTTGAAACAGGGATGTGTGTATACAGCGAGAGGTGTATCCCGCTTCTCCAAGTATACATACTTTGTTTACTTAGCCCTGGACTATGTTCAGGACTAAATTATACATAGTGGTTGGTCAGTAAACAATTGTGTTAGCCTTTATAACCCTCCAGAGATTGTTAGGCTCCAATACCAACTGTCCGAGAAATGATTGAATGTCATCACCCTAAACCTCTTTTCATATTTATATTATACATTAATTTTGTAATACTCCTTTCTCTTGCTGGGCATTATGACGTCACACTTTGTATGCACAAGTCTTGCCGTAAGTTATTACGGGTTCACATTATCAAACACCCCCTCACTTTCACCCGCGCGCCTCCTCTTGTATACATATATTGTTTGGCATTGCCACATGTACCATCTTGTATTTGTTGCTTCACTGTAGGTGGAAGGTTGATGTGGAGTGCCGGCGTCGGCCGCCTGGTGAACCCTGCAGGTGTACAACTGCTGTGTGTGGTCGGTGACTCCAGGAGGGTCTTGCTGACCCTCATTTACCACGAAGCCTAGCGCTCTAACGGTCTTGCTGTCGCTTCCTGGAGCCCTTAAGGCCTTAAAGTACATCAGCTTCTGGATGTAAGGGAAGCAGTATGACGATAACGCTCGTATCCTAACAAAAATCACGTCATGCGAGTGTATTGACCGCAATAATGATCATATTGTTTTGTTTCCTAATTGGCCTGGTTATCGGTGTATACCATAGACGTAGGGGAGGGGTAATGCTGCAGATTTTGAGTGACGATGCCGCCCTGGTATATGCTAGAGAAACAAAATTTTTGTTAAGGGTAGTCCTAGGCGGGCCCTAAGCCTCTGGCTGGCCCAGTGGAATCATTTCTGTCTTGGGCGGTGGATGAGTACATGTCTCAAATGTTGGCGTCGGTAACATCATGACTCTTGAAAGAGTGGAGATGAAAGGTGTTGGGTGGAAAATATAAAGTGGTCCATTCTACAAGATTACTGTAGCAGGGAAGAACGAAGAAGAGTTATCCTGCAAAGAGCGAGATTGAGAGCTGTAAGACAGCTTACAGCTGACGTTTAAGACACGGTATAAATAAGGAGCGAGTCATTAACGTAAGAACTGATAGCGTTATGCTACCCGGTAAATTGTTTGCACAAAGTATTTACCCAGGTCTTTCCTGAATCTAACATCCAGGTTATATCCACTGCTACTGCTTATATCAACATACGTGACAAGTCTGTAAAATGTGAACCTTGAGGCAGTTGTGCTTAGGCTGCACCCCACCTCACACCACATGACAACCCCCCCCCCCCCCTCCCCTCTCTCGCTCTTTTTTCTTCTTTCTTTCTCTCTCCAGTCCGTCCTTATAAACAAAGGCCAACGTCCATTCCATGCACCCGCCAAACCCCCTGTTTATGAATGAAAAACGGTTTACACACGACTCGACTAATGACGTCCGAACACTTCCAGAACAAGTGCTCTGCTGACAAATTTTGTTCGAACTAAAACGCTGTAAATGCTTCACCCACGTACTACAAATATAAATAATGGCCAACAGAACCTGAAAGCCTAAGCTAACAAGTGCCTAAATCTCCCCAGTATGCTAATATATAACAATATTAATTTATATTTGAGAAAATTCCTATTTTGAATGAACAGCATGTTAAAATTGACGAACACGTCTTTGGAGTCGACCGCTGGATGGAATGGACTTGGTCTGAGTTTGTTGTTTTGAAGTAGGCTACTCTGAACTAAATTTCCATGTAGCGCTGGATATAGTGAGCCCGTAATGGCCTGAGGACGGGTTGCCTGTTTTTCTTCATTCTCTGCACCTTCCTTCTACGTTTCTATATTTAAATTTATTCACGTTCCCAACATATGAGTTTAGCGTATATGTTCTCATGTATTCAATTAGGCTTAATAAATAATCTTGCCCGGGCGTAGAATTTATTGGGAAGCTTCAGTGATCCTGTGAGTGAACAACTCCGCCATAGCAACGTGTACAATCACTCCCACGAATACATAGTGTTCGATGTGTCTTTTATATGTAGCATATATAAATCTGTGTATCTATGTATTCACGTATGTAGCTTAGCCTAGCATTTTAAAAGCCCTACAATCACCTCTGATTGTTCAATAAATCCCTGAACTGTGTTTGACAAATCTCTCACCCAGTCCATGGAGGACAGAAGAAAATGTGTATATGCTAGTTAGCATTGTAAATGTGTGACCACGTCTGCGGTAGAAAAAAAAAACTCCCACAAATAGGCAGAAAATCCGCTAGGTTGTTTATCTTAAGTTATCGTAAATCGAGTCAGTAGAGGGTCATAGTTAGGAATGTATTGATGTATATAGACACCAGTATTATTTGTAAACCTTGTTCACTATTGACAGTTTCACTGGTTTGCAGTAATATAAATAAATTTGTTGACATCCACAGTTTATTTTTTGGACATGTATATGAGTGGGATTGGGCGGTTATGAATAGGGGCTGCCTCGTATGGGCCAATAGGCCTTCTGCAGTTGCCTTTGTTCTTATGTTCTTATTGTACGTTTAGAAAGTATTAATGTATCTTGGAACGGTATTTAATATTTCTACTACCTTGCAGAGCCGTTAAGTGGAGTGCGAGAGGTAGAACAACAGAAGCAGTAATAGAGGAAGGACGCTAACCATGGACCCCGACGGTCAGACCAGACTGTTGAGGCTGCTGGTGGTGCTGGTGCTGTTGATCGCCCTCAGTTGGCTGGACACACTCCTGGGTCCTCTGGAACACGACCCTGGCGCCCGCGCAGCTCTGGTAACTTTCTCCAACTCCTGTTTACACCTCTACCGCAGTCTCTGGCCCTTCCCTTCTCTCGCTTTCTAACTTCCCTTGTCTAACTTCTCCTTGTCGTTACACGAGTCATCTTTACCCTATAAATCACTGTCAAGCTCCTCTTACCTTGCTTGCAATCCTCTCTTCTCGGCCTATAAAAATTTTTTTAGTTGAGTCTTGCTGGAGACTCTCCTAAAGTTCGGTCTGCCCCCCTACCATCTCTCATCTGGGTCAGGATTCAGCAAGCATTTACCCATCTACTTACGAACCTTTATATCTTTTCTCATTCTGTGGGTCATCTGTGAGCCACAGATGGACGACCACACCCCAACACTCGCTCAAGGTCCAGCCCACACCCTACCATCTCGTACCTCTCATTTTACTAAATCTCCTGCCATTTCATTGTTTATTTCTTTTAGTTAAGTTGTCCCTTTGTGACTTTGGTGTTAGTTTTATTATATATATATAAATATATAAATAATATCGTTACTGTTACCTGTGCCCGTCCATTATAAAAAGACTGGTGTGAGAAATTCCTTGTATGAAATTTTCGCTGTCTAGTTCTGAGCGTTATTGATATTTATCTTGGTGTGTATTTTGCTAAGCTTACCGTTATTGCTATTTATAGCCTCGTGTGCATTTTGCTAAACTTTTTAAATATCTGTATAAAGTTTGCTATGATCAGTATTTATAACCTAGTAAGGGTGGCTTTCAGGTCCAACAAATTGTGTGTAATTAACTTGGAATACCAAGATAGGGTATTTGCAGTAACGATATTATCGCTAAATTGTCAAACTTGCATAATTAAGTTTATTGAACGTGCTATCAGTGAAATGAGAAACAGGCAATGCCTTGATTGGTGTATTTATATGTTGACGTCATGGGTGTTCTGTTAAGTGATTGGCTGAAGGTCAGTGTAGTAATTTATTTTTGTTAGCAAAGCAAAAATGTACGCGAAAGTGAACTAGCTTATTCATTAGTTATCAAAGAAGGCTTCAGTATACATTTTGCCGTTTGAGAAGAGTCGTGGACAAAACTACTAGATATGTTTGTTAAAAAAATTTATAAAGAATTACATTAATTTGGGTAATTTCAAATTTGTGTGTAAAATAAATATATATATAATATAATATTAATAATAATATGCATGCATGCATGTATGTAATGTTGGGGGATTTTTTTCTTTTAGATAATATTTCAAAATACGTAGCCTATACCTACATTGAGTATACTGTACCTTGAGTTGGTTTCGGGGCTTAGCGGCCCGGTCATCGACCAGGCTTCCTTGTTGCTGGACTGGTCAACCAGGCTGTTGGATGCGGCTGCTCGCAGCCTGGTTGATCAGGTATCCTTTGGAGGTGTTTATCGAGTTTTCTCTTGAACACTGCGAGGGGTCGGCCAGTTATGCTTATGTATAGTGAAAGCCTCTTCTGCTCCTTATGTGTAGCCTCAATGAAAGTCTCAAACAAAGAACGGTAATCATTTTATATTTGTGAAAGTTTTATAAAATAAAATAAACTTGAACAATTTATCCCTTTATAATCTAAACCTGTTCAGGCAGTTTTGTTAAATTTTGTTTCAATTCCTACTACAGTTTTGTGTAGAGTATCTCCCTGGCTTGGTGCTTTCCTTTGATAATTACTTTGTGAAGTTTACACCTTATTAACTTTGCAAGTATGACACTGGAGTTAGATTTGGAAACTGTAGCATGTCTGGCTTGCAAGCAGCATGGACGGTACCAGAGGGCTGTTGTGGTCACCCTTGACCCCTGACGCTGACCTAATTGTTGCTTCTTCCAGTTCAGCCTTTCTTCACGTGTCTTAAGCTTACTTCATGCGCTAAGCTGATCATTAATTTTTTAGTGACTATTGGGGGAGTGAGGTCTAATTGTTGTTACACACAGAGATCACACTAACGTGATGCATCAAATGAACAAATCCACAAGGGCCGTGACGAGGATTTGGCAAATCCTCATCACGGCCCTTGTGGATTTGTTCTAATTGTTGTTGTTTTTTAGATTCAGCTACTCGGAACAAAAGTTCCAAAGTAGCACGGGCTATGGTGAGCCCGTAGTGGCCTTACCAGGAGCGGGGCTGTATCTTGTGGAGATCTAGTTATTATGCCTCGCCTCCTAGTTTTGTTGTACCTGTTGCCATATAATTCGTATCCTCATGATAGGATATAGAGCTATAAAGTAGTATCAGCGTGTCAAAACACGTGACAATGCCATTTGTGACTAGCTGTGGTTTTGTGTTTATTCACAGTATTTTTTGCAACATAGATGTCAGTTTTTGCAACATAGATGTCAGTTTTTGCAACATAGATGTCAGTTTTTGCCACCATTTTTCCTTGTTATTTTGCAAAGGTTTCAGTGTTTTTTTTTTTTTTTTTTTTTTTTTTTTTTTTGCCAGGGCTTTATTGTTTTTTGTCACTATTTTTTTCCTTGTCTTCATGTGTTTTGCGCCGCAGACCTCGGCATTTACAGTCCGCACTCTTGTTCCACATTTGTAAATAACACAAATAAGGTACAGTGGGTTGTGAAAGGTGAAAATACACATGTTGGTGAATAAGTGATACATTTTCTGACGTCTCCTCTTCACAGATAGCATCACGGAGGCAGGACAAGTCTCTGGAAGGTCAGGAGGAGAGGAAGAAGAGAGCAGCTGGACACAACAATGTGCACGAATATAGCAACATTTACTTAGAAGACGAGGAAGATGAGGAGGGGACGCCGTCCTTTGCCAAGTCTCTCAAGGCCAAGTCCCGTGAGTTACCTGAATTTTTCTGAGGGGGGGGGGGGAACTTTAGTTGCCCCAGTAGGGACAGGAAACCAGCGGCCTGCCAAAGGTTCCCTTATAATTCCATGGCCTTCGGAAATTTCCCGTTCTTGAAAAAGTTGTATAGATAACAATTAGTTTTAAAAATTTGCAGTTATATATGTATATTTCGAGCATGGGATTAATTTTGGCCTTGGCGAATTGCTTGGCAGCGAGTTTACTTTGGTGTTGGCAACATATAAATTAGTTTACTGTGTTATTATCCCGTGTTCACAGATGAGGATACTAGTTAGAAGTTTGTGTATGGGTACCATAGAGGTTGTCTTATAATATATATCATTTAAATTGTATGGCTCTAGTTTGCCAAGAATGCCAAGAATCTTTTTGTTAAGAATGAAATACTAAATTCCCCCCTACTAAAACTTGACAATCTCATTACAGAGTTTGACTGAGGGGATACTGTTAAAGCATTAGAAATCTAGGTACTCTTCAAGCATGTGAACGCATCCATACCTTTCTGCAGACACCATCATTAAACCGCATCACTAACTTCAAGTCAAGTCAGGTAGTACTTCTCGTAGAGAAACAGTTAAGCCTATCATAGTTCAGTAGGTAGTGCGTGTGGTCGGGAAGTTCAGGAATGCTCATTATTTTCTCATAGCAAAATTGTCTTCCAGGATGGTACGTGCAGACGCCCATGTTCCACTTCGACCTTTACTCGTGTTTACCTCGCTTTGTGTGCGAGGTGCACGCCCAGGCCTCCCAGGCAGACCTCTCCAGACTGGAGCTCGATATCATCAATCTCTTCAGGTTAGCTCGTCCAGCTCGCGTTTACATATTTATTATTTGGTTTTTAATTAATTTGTTCGTTGTAAATACTCATTTTATATAGGTTTTTTATCTTGCTAAATGGCCTTTGTCACATTAGCCACTTCTCTTGTTAGTATTTCGCACTAGTTGTTTAGTTCATTATTTCCTCGCACCCATCCTGTGGGTGGTAGTGGACCCCCAATTCCTATCCTGTGGGTGATAGACCTCCATAACCCATCCTGTGGCATTAATGGGTTCAATAACAAAACTCCAAAATTTAATCTAAATGTTACATTGATGACGGGGGGGGGGAATACTCCTTCTCTAGCATCAAAGCACAGATGGGGTACAGAATGTTCTGTAATCGCGAGATTTGTAAGAAGAGTCCGGTTACAAAGACACCTTGGTTACAGTTTTAATATTCAGAGAAGCAACCCAAGCACTTACACAAATTTCTAAATTTCGATTTTAGCAGATATAAAATTTTGTTTTTAAAATGCTAACATATATATTTTAGGAATGCGCGTCCTGTCGTTCTGGAAAATTTCCAGTGGATCTATCAGATTTTTTTGTTACCATCCTGCCTTATATCACGTGTATTACCCTCCCCTCTTGTCTCCTACTGTTCACTGTTGTAAATCTTCTTCAACATGTCATGTAAATCTTGTTCAACATGTAGATCATGTAGAACATGTAAATCTTGTTCAATCAGAGCTTTAATATACTTGCTAATCTCTCTCATCTCATTTTTTTTCTTGCAATGTATTTATCATTTTATTAATTCTGCTAGAATTTACCTACTTAAAATAATCTGTTAGATTAAGGACCTGCCCGAAACGCTGTGCGTACTAGTGGCTTTACAAGATTGTAAATACTATGCCATGTATTCTCACAAACCCAATGTACCTTCTTGTATATAAATAAATAAATAAATATCGGCCATCTGCTTCATGTTGGCTGGTCTACCTTCTACTCTGAACGTGTCGACATTGTTTTTCTAGTTTCACTGGAAATAAAAGTTGTTGCACCTTAACGGTAATGATGTGCATGCTTCTCCCCCACTGTCGTAACGTTCATGGGCCCTACACCATCTTCATCTTTCACATTTCCTCCGTTCATTACAGCTAGGGTTAAAATATTAGCTTAGGGCTGGAACATCAGGCTGCTAGGCTATCACGCTCTGGCAGCCCGATTCATTCAGTGCACAATACTGTTCAGTGTTGTGCAATGAATGAACAGGTCCCGTGTTGGACTACCACTGCAGTAGTCCTGTGTACACAGTCTTACCTCCTCCCGTTACTTATTTTGCATAGAAAATTTACGGAGCAGTTACGTTCACTTGGGCATTATCCTGTTTTAAGACGATGTTATTTTCAGGAATTACTTGCCGCTGGAGGGCCCGGACTCTCCCGTCTACAAGTACCAGCTGGCAGCGCACATGGGCCAGCTGGCCACAGGACTGGAACCCTCTCCCTGCTACTCTATCTACCCTTCGTGTCCACTCTCCAGGGTCCAGGTCATAGAGGCGCTCAGGAGCGTCAAGACTTCCAGAAAGATGTTTTCTTGACGTCTTCAGCCGCAACGATGATTACCTCAGATTATTATACGTTTTGACATTAATAAACGTTTTTCCTACCATCAAGAGTTTCAGAAGGTTCTTTTTTATTCTTTATCTTCAAGTTATAACCGATCCTTAGTTATAAGTTATATAACAACTCTGAAAATGAGTTTTCAGGTCATTGATGTTCTTGAGAAAATTACGAGGATTTTTACTCGTCAAATTTGCAATATAAGAGGCGAGAGAATCTTGCAGTTCAAGCTAGTCCTCCGGCAGTCTTGGCATCAAGAGAATATTTTGTGAATATTTTGATCCTGTGAATATTTTGTATGTTCTGGCAGATCTGTCAAACCTGGTCTGTCTAGAATGTTCACATTCTATAAAGTGTCATGGGAAAAAATATGGAAGATGTGTATATTTCAGTGACGGTATCACTTGAGTGAAATTTAGGTGCCAAGAATAGGATAGTGTGTATTAGATAATCACAAGTGTATATTTCAACATAACTTACCTGCGGCTAGTTAACTTTCGCAGTGCTCTCATGGCTCTAAAGTCCTTTAATCCTGCAATCTTGTGGTCGTCGAAATTCAATTTTGGCTGTTTATCTCCAGCAGATTTAAGACAGCAGAGTTTTGCTGGGTTCACAGCCATATTGGTGTTTACTTAAATGTGTGTGAGCAGATGCTACCGCAAAGGAGGCTATCCGCATGCGTCCAATTTCTCGCAAAGGTGTTCTATATTTCCACTTCTACCCTATTATTCATTCTTCCATCCGTGCTCGTTGGCAGGGTCGTTGGTCTTCTGTTACCAGTAACAAGCTGCGAGCTCTTAAGGGTAGTGTGTCTCCGTGGCCTTCCTCCTAACCGGCGGTGGGAAATGGCTCTGGAGAGGTTACGTCACTTAATGGAGCGCCGCCCTGCTCCTTATTGTTTAAACTGCATTGTCCCTCTTACGGTCGTGCATATCCTTGTTGAATGTCCTGACTTGCAGGATGTGCGAGCGTCTTTCTTCCCGACTATCCCTCGCCGTCACCTGTCCCTCGATAGAATCCTTGGTGAATCGAATACCTTTGATATTGTTCGCCTTACACTTTTGTTCTCGTATTGGTATCCTTAGTGATATTTAATGCCTTTTGAATATCCCACACATTTGATGGTGCTACATAGCCTTCCCGGCTTGGTGCCTTCTTTGATAATTACTTACCTTGCTGTTACTTGCATTGGTTGTGAGGATCAACGTCCCTGGTTGGTGGTCTGGTCAACTCCATGTTTATCAAGTTCTCTATTGAACACCACGAGAGGTCAGGTTATCTTGAAATGATTTCGGGGCTTAGCGTCCTCGACCAAGTCTCCTGTTTGTTACACACCCACAGGAAGCAGCCCGTAGCAGCTGTCTAACTCCCAGGTACCTATTTACTGCTAGGTAACAAGGGTATTAGGGTGAAAAACTTTTTGCCCCTTTGTCTCCGCCTCCACCGGGGATGGAACCCGGAACCTCAGGACTATGAATCCGAAGCGACGGGGGACAGGAAGCCGGGGGATTATAAAGTCTTGAGCCCCTAATGTTGATAGAATTGTCTCAGCGTACCTATTACACCAATGATTTCCAACGTAGCTTTTTTTCCCATTGAAAATACTGCCATCCTTCTTGGTGTCGTGTGATGTTACAGCAAGACTCGTCGAATAATGTGCCAGGTAACTTTCTGGCACCTTAGGTTAGAACAGATGCCGCAGTTCTCGTTGGTTAACAAGTCCTCCTATAAATGAAGCTGGAAACTTTTATACACAACTGAGGGTCTTATAAAAGAGACTGGAGATACACTGTGGTATGGCTTCTCAGACTTGAGAGCTTTATAGCTGTCAAGGGCGACATCCTTGTGTAGAAGGCATGATGTGTCCATGCCAAGGAGCGTCAGTGTGCCAGCCTACACCTTGGTCTTAGATTACAGTATTTGCTCAACCCGTTTATATATACTGACTTTAATCAAATGTCTTCGTATTTCTTTGTACGTTATATAAAGTTTTGTATCTTATCCTCACAGCTCAACCCTCTTGGCTCTGGAACTAATGTTTTTGCAAACCTTTGTACTTTTTAAAATTTGGTTTTATGCACCACAATATGCGGATTCCAGGACAGTACTGTATATTCCAGTATTGGTTTAACAGGGTGCGTGTAGATGGGTCTTCCGTGGTACTGGTTAGATATACCACAAACTACTACTCCCTTAAGTATCTAGAAGACAAACAGTGCATGCAGCAAAGGTGACGCAAAATATGTATAAATGCATACCCAGAAAACTACACATTTTGTATAGATGGTTTTAACTTTATAAATTCTTAATGTGCAAGAGTGGTCATCCAGTTTCACATACAGCAGTATAGGGTTTAAAGAACAGCGGTCGTTCGGTAAGCTAACCAATATAGTTAAGGCAGGTGTGGTCAAGTAGGCTTCAGTTCTCTAAAAGTGGAGCAGTATATTTACCAAGGAGCTTCTACTTCTATACTCAGCAGTACCCCAGCACCAACACGCAGACAACTTGGAGTCTGCTAAAGCAGACGTCTAGTCTAACATACTGATTATGGTTCTAAGATATTTGTGTTTGACTTATTAAAGACTATATATTTTATATGTAGCTAATATTGTAAATAAGGTGTTTTACAATAAAATTTGTAAAAATTTGCTCTGATTCTTCATCCTGTTGTCCTTACTTCTTGCCATGCAAATTGCATAATGTTAATAATAAGCAGCTTTTGCGATTTTAGGTGTTAAAAATTGTATTGTAAATAGTTCCTAATGTGCTTAGCTATTTATATACCAGTTATTGTAATTGACGTTGGAGGTCAAATAATTGGAAGATTTAAATAATAATTGCTAGGCAACAAGCCTAGCAAGCTTGATGTCTCCCGACAATGGAACTTGTATCTAAGGGTCGACAATATGGGGTCACCTACTAATATCTGCAGACTTATAGATATTACTAAATCTAGGTTAGGCTCATCTATAATTATTTCAGAGAGTTTGCAACCCCATGCTTATGAAGATATAGCAAATATGAACTTTGTCGTCAAAATTAGTTACATACCACATCACTGCGTAATTAAATATGAGCACAAACATCCAAGAATTTCAAACAACTCGTCAGTTATTTACAATAACTATCAAAATGTTTAATCCTGAATTACATATTACTCAAAATCCTAGACAGGCATCCAAAGTTTGCTTACTATAAATATTTGCACAGACAATCACCAGAGAAGGCTGGCTATATATATAAAGACTAGGCTGCATATAAATTTGATTTGATCACAGGTTAAGTCAATATGACCGTACTTGTAACTACATTTATTTATTTATTTATATATATACAAGAAGGTACATTGGGATTGTGAGGATACATAACATAGTAATAACATTCTTGTAAAGCCACTAGTACGCGCAGCGTATAGTGTTGTATTTAGACTGCTGCCGTTGGTGTGTACTGGCAAGGCCAATAACAACCATAGCGTGGCTGGTAACGACGGAACACCTCGTTCACTGTTGTCACAGATGAACAACGCCCAAGGTGACGACTGTTCAGAACAGCTGTGTGCCCACCAGTGTGGTCCAGAGCGGCGTCAGCACCACTACGGTCTACGCTCACGGATACACGCGGGACACCCGTAATATAATGTAGACACCACAAGAGAGAAGTACAAGTGAGGTGTTTGCCTATCTTCTTCCAAAGAGGTAAGTGTCAAGACTTACAGTGAACTACGAGTTTTAGTACATCGTATGTGCAGGTAATGGACATAAATGACCCTCGATTAAGGTCATCCCTGTAGGAGCTTCCCATTATCTTTTATTTTTAATTCATGCATACAATAGTTTTTCCCATTTTTTGTGACGCCACCAGCACGCATAGCGTTTCGGGCAGGTCCTTAATCCTAATTTTTCCTGGAATACGACCCGCCAAATCGTTTAACCAGGTACCCATTCACTGCTGGGTGTATAGAGGCTGCAGTTAAGGATTGGCGCCCAGTCAGTCCTCCCCGGCCAGGATACGAACCCAGGTGAGTGTCTTGCTACTGCAATACGAGGACAGCTATTATCTTATTTATACAAGAGTATTTACAATCTTGTACAGCCACTAGCACGCTTAGCGTTTCGGGCAAGTCCTCAATCCTAGTTTTCACACACGTACACACACACACACACACACATCCCCAGGAAGCGGCCCATAGCAGCTGTCTAACTCCCAGGTACCTATTTACTGCTAGGCAAACAGGGGTATTAGGTAAAAACACTACCCATTTGTTTCCACATCCGCCGGGGATTCCAAAAGACTCCTTAGGACTACGAACACGCAAACGCTAGCCACTCAGCCGTCAGGCCTTTATCTTCTGATACATGTTGATTTATAGTAGTTTTTGTAGCAGAAAATTTAAAGCCGTATTTGTTAGCCTATAGGAGGATATGCTTTCATTGCAAGTTGATGTTGAACAAGGATATACTGTAATCGACGGGTCGGCAACAGCAACAACAGACTAAGTCAATACAAGTCGCAGTACAAAACCCGTCGGGAGAGGTCCATTAAGACTATAGATAAGTGATCTATTACTTACACTACTCTGATTGGATACTTCCTCATATTGGCAATTATAAAAACGGTAAATGGTCCCGAAGTTTGTTCTAAAACCACGGTCTGAGTAGGTTTGAAGGAATAGTTGCAAATTGCCTCATAGGCCAGACGAATGCAATGTGGCTAAAATGTTACATGTCCAAGCAGTCATACCTTTTAGTTCGTTGTTGGGGATAAGGCCTACACTCTGAAGTGTTATGAAGACCACAACCATAGCCTAATGACCAACATAGTCCAAGATTGTGTTGTGAGGGGGAACACATACACATTGTATGTACTAGCTCTATCTAGAAATTCATCAATATTTGTATTACACCTTGTATGTATGTACTTTACCTGAATAAACATTTTAATTTTAAACAATCGACTTGAAAATGGTCCAGGACGGGTCGAAATGTCATCGTCCCTTCACTTTCTAAGTGTGTGGTTTAGTCAACTTATTTCAGCCACGTTATTGTGACT